TAAGAAAAAAACCCCTTCAAAAGTATTATATAAGATACGAAAAACACTTTAAAAAAAATCTGTAAAAATATTTTTTTTTTTAAGTTGTGTACAAAAAAATTCGTGGAAAAAATAGTTTTATTTATCAAAAATATAACATACACACGCAACCATCAGCGGAGCAAGTAGATAAAAGAAACTTTGCAATTACTTATCTAGTTTATACATTATACATGACTAATTTCTAATAGATAAACAACACATAAGGTGTTAATATATTGTATACATCACTTAACATTCTATTCAACCAAACATGGTGTATTCTTGATCGAATGATCTTTACTAACAATTATATACTCCATATTTAGTAAAGTATTTAATAAAATCCAACAATAACAGATAAGTCTTACTTTTCAAAACTTTATTTTTTTTTCAGAACGATATTTCTATTCAGAAATTCGTATAAAATATTAGTGCAATTAATGTCTTGTTGGGAAAACTATAGATGACATTAATAACGCATTTTTTGAAATCAACATGAAGAAGATCTAGAATTTAAAAAACGGAATAGATTGGAAATCAAAAACCAGGATAAAAATGTGTTGTCGACCTATTTAGGGTTTGAACATTGAGAAATCTGAAAGACTGGACCGAAACAAAGACACTTCACGTTACACACAGTAATTTTGTGACCAGAGATTAAAATCGGATTTCCGGACAAAATCTTACAAGTTTTAGGAAAAAATTGATCAGGTAGAAATCAAACTACAACCATTATCAGCCATACTAACTAACCTACCGACTAGCAACGACCTCGCCGGATGTATATATATAAAGAATTATATATGTTTGGTACCATTAGTAATTATAATACTCAAGTAAAAACTGAGATATTATAACTGCGCATGCGCATATGTGTTGTGAATTTAAGTATGCGTGTGAACGCGAACGAATATGTAAAGAATGGCTATTATTTTATTAAGTCAAGAATTATTTTTATCAAATGTTATTAACAGTACTCTTAAAAAACTGTGTCACTGTGTTTAAGTTTTATTCGTCAAATCTAGAATAAACGACGACAGGCTTATACGAATGCTTTTTATACGTAAGCATTATATACCGGCTTTTTCGTATGTTTCTCTTAATTTTTAAGTACCATTGTTTGCACGATACTATTAGAAGCTTTGTGTATGTAATACATAATGTTTTGGGCATCTAGTTTGAGTCTGTTAGCTGTATCCATCTTGGGCTTATAAAATAAACTGTTTTTTGAAAGTCTGACTCGCGTAATGGAATGAAATTTCCCGGGAATAGAAACCCAGGACCCTCTTGCTTAACCATGACTTTTCAGGTCTCACTAATGGCGGTTCCAGGGAGGAGGTCATGACCTCATGACTCCCGAGCTGGCTTCAGGCCTTAGGTGGACTAGATACTAATAGAACTCATTCATTTTATTTACAAATAATTATGTGTTAAATTCTTTAAGTGTAATACACTGAATGAATATTAATAAAATACCTACATTTTATTTGTATCTATAAAAGTTCTTGACTTGACGACTAAGTGACCTCCTGGCGCCAAAGCTGAATCCGCATGTGGGTCTCACGCTATGCCTTTTATTATTGAGCCAACAGTCGTTATTATAACAAATCCTAAAGAGAGATATGCAACTGCCATGAATTTTTTTTTACCGTATTACAATTGTGTGTGATCATCGAAGGTGACTCATTACACCCGAGGTCATTGCCGCGTATTGTTTTAGTTATTTTAATTCCGCGGTTTAGGTCAAGAAACCGGATTTCGGCAATTTTGACACTCGACGAATACACGCAGAGTATCTGATTGGAATTCACTGATGCTGATAAGAGATAAAAGGTGTTAATTAAATTCGTAAGTTAAAACACTTTTTTAACTAAAAACGAAGACGTTTTTGGCGTGCAGATAGGATGGGAAAACTAAGAGGTTGCCGACATATTAAAAAATATATCTATTATATTATTAGTCTCGAGCTTCTATTATAGATTAATAGTTATATAATATACAACATATATAATATCTCCTATCTCATATTCCCCGCTGTTGCTTCTCGGTAGTCACAGCGCGATGTTTTAAAGCTTAAAGCCTTCTTCGATATATGTTCTAACCAACACAAAAATATTTTTTCAATTTGAACCAGTAGTTCCCGAGATTAGCGCGCTCAAATAAACAAACATACAAACTCTTTAGCTATCTATATTAGTGTAGATATAGGTAAAAGTAGTCTATAGATATTGTTAATTGTATGAAAAGCGTCAGTATGCAAGAAGTAATCAGAAATAATCTTGTTTTTTTTACGAATTGCACCCCAGCCGATGTTTCGACTGTGGAGCAAGTTTCAGAATATTAAAAATACAGGAGACTTCAAGGGGATTAGACATGTGGACGAGGTGGCGAATTAGTTATATAAAATTTAATTAATTCTACTTTTAAGGCTTAAGAAACTTATAGTTAAATATTGAGTTAATTAATAAGTTACCTAATAGAAATAGTGGCACATAACAACTGAGTTCATTTTGAAAACAATTCAAATGTAATCTTTAGAAACAAAGAACGCTGAAAGCAGAAACATTTAATTGGTGGAAAAATAATTTGGTTACTATTAATTAAGAGATTATATGATGAGTGGGTACACTTACATGTAAAGACTTCAGACATTTCATTCTATACAATATTATCAAGCTAAAGAGTTTTTTTGTTTTAACGCGCTAATCTCAGGAACTATTGGTTTGAATTGAAAAATGATTTTCGTTGGTTAGACCATTTATGGAGGAAGGCTTTAGACTATAAAACATCACGCTGTAACAAATAGGAGAAAGAGAGGAAAAAGCGGGGAAAATTTTCATTTTCATCTTCGAGGGTTCTCGTAGCGTGCGCTGCGAAAAGGGTTCAAAATACCCAAAATATTTTTTCATATTTTTCTTTTAATAATCCAAATATTAGTCCGAAACTGAATATACTTGAAGAACGACGGGAAACTACCCTCATCGTGGATAACGGCTTTAAAAAGATGACTAGAATGTTTGATGAATGACTAATCTACGCAAACGAAGTCGCTGGCGCAGCTAGTTTATAAAAAGATTATCCATCTAAGGCTTTCGTTTAGAGTTTAAACTATAGATGCAAGGATACGCCTCAACTATTGAGCTTTAAGTGAATATAACCAAGTTAAAAATAAACAGCTAAACCGTCACTTACCTGTGTTAGTGTAAAAGTATGTTAATCTCATCAAAGTCATTCGCAGAAATAAAAAAGCAACTTTATACGAAATATCGCTCGTCATATGCTTTAATAAGTTAACGGTACCTGTGTATTGCGTGGTCTCTGAACGGTTAAAGAAAATTATATATTTATGACTTCTTGCGGGTATAGTAGATATATTTTTGAGCCTATTTCTTCTCTACTAGACCCCAATAACCGTCACCAACTATAGAAATTATATAGAATATACATATTATGATTTCGACAAAATTTTACTTTCATTTAGTCTACATGCATATGTTAATTGTTCTTTTCAAACTAACGTCATTGTTTTGTAATTGTTAGGTGTTTGCACCATTGTCAACTTCTGTTTTAGGTTAGCTTTTTCGTTAGTGAAGTACTAAAACGATTTAAGTTGTTATTTGTAATGTAGGTAATATCTTCTATAGGTATGTGTGTTTATACCAAAAACAAAACATTTATCTTTGCTTGAAGAACTTTGGTAACATGTACAGTGATGAAAAGTTTATCTGTTAAATGGAATTCTTCATAAACCTTCAACAGGCAGTCCTATTATTAGATTCCTTGCTATACTATGCCTAGTATATTTGTTCCACCATAAACCAATACAAAAATACTACAAAATTCGAGATTTCCACACGGTTCTATAAACATAAGCAGGTAGTTAATTCGTACCAAAAGCACGTGCGTGCTTTGTAAGCCAATTTAGTAGTTCATATAGGCTACGTCTAACTTAGACCAACACAAATATGAACATGCCAGACTTACTGTGTCCGGCCAACGGGACCCCAAAAAAGATCAACTCACTAACACAACACGCAATCGATCTACACAGAAACCGATATTTAATCGATTTTCATTAAATTTACATTGATAAATTTTCGTATAGTTCGCTTTTCAGTTTCGTTGGGGACACTTTACTTTTCTACACCACTGTACCGACAGACTGTGAGCGTGGTTATAGGCGCACTGAGTCAGTGACACTGTGCAGGTTTTCTCTCTCTATCTTGCTTGACGCGAGCCAGTAGGAGAAAAAGAGATGTCGCATTATGGAATGCGTGAACAGAAGCCTACTCATAGACATTAGCTATTTCATTTGTTAATACTGTAAGGAAAAGAGAAGCAATGCATGTTTAGTGTTTGAAATGCATCGTGCGCCGGCGATTGTTAGATTGTATGAAAATTGAGGCTTCGAATGTTAAGGGGAGGTCGCGTATAACTTTGCGAAAGGAGTTAGATGGGTGACGAATATATTTTATAGATCGATACCTAAGTAGTGATGTACTGCAGACAAAGGTGCGCGTATGCTTTGTAAAACCTACACTAATGTAATGTTTTGTTTTGAAAAATATATATATATATTAACTGTAAATCGATATACAAATCAACCACTAATTTTAAAAGTTAGTACAACTAACACTTAACACTTCATTTATTACTAAACATATCTATATAAAAATAAAGACAAATTCGTTTAAAAAAAGCTTTCAGGAAAAATAGGCAAACGTCTTACACTTAATGACTGATTTATAATGCCTCCCTGCTACATTTTTACTAAAACGATCTTTATTTCGTTTCAAGAGAGTTGAAATTCACATACCCATTGCCAAGTACAGCTAGCAACACAAAGTTAGCTGCAAATAAGAACGGCAACATCGCACTTGCACCTTGAAGTTGTTGCGTATTACTTTCAGTTTGCCTACATTATTTTATTGAGAGGTCGTGTTTTTTAATTATTTTGTTATTTATTGTTCGTTATTACAATGATAGGAAGTGATTATACGTTAGAGCTTTGCAATGTGTTTCATTCTGGACAAGTAAGTGCTTTGCTTTAAGAGCAAAGATTACCTTTTTTGTGGACCGTGGAAATAAGTTGTAAAATCATAGACACAATATAGACTACATTTAACAATGATTTTGTCTACCTAAAATTCGTTCAGGAGAGAATCCCGTTGATGTCTTTTATATAGGACATGCGAAACAATTCACTGTTCAATTTTGTTTCTAATATTTATTTCTTATACATATTTTTATTTAATCTATTTAAGTCATTATCTTTTGCTGTTTAAAACGCGGCTTAAAGCATTGAAAATATTTGATGACGCAGACGGGACTCAAACCGGCATCTACAGCGATGCGTGCTGCTGCTCAAATCAATTGAGCTACCATGATACCCTGAATGTTAGTTACAGAAGCAGCACAGATCACTGTGGACGCTGGTTCAAGCCCCGGTCGTATTTTTTTCTTAATGGATTTTTTATATATAAAGGCATCATGGGTTATGTTTTTTATTTTTGTTTTGACCTATTGAGTTTAGATGAAAAACATATTTTTGTAATGGAAATCGAATCACTTAACCTAATTTAGTTAATTCATATATTTTTAATTGACTATTTATTTGTCTTTTTTAACAATTTTGATAATTTTATAAAGTTACATTTTTTTGTGTTTTTACCAGGTGGAGCCAGGAAGCTTCTTCCAACGATTAACAGGCGGTGTAAAAACAGGAGTGATCTTGAAAGATGTATCGTTTATCACCCATAGTGGGGAAGTAACCGCTATTTTGGGATCAAAAGGTGAATTAACATTTCATGGATAGTACACAAAAGATGATTTGCTGTTTTAACTTGTTAAATGCCCATTTAATTGTAATAAATGAAAAGGGAGCGAGTTGGGTGTTCCGTAGTCATTCCATATCTATAACACATAAGTCATAATACGCCATAACGCGTTTCGTAACGAAGCGCAACCATTCCTGTTATCGTTTTCTATTATTGTCTGAACACATCACACAAATGAGATCCATCATTTCAATAATACACTTTAACGGTTCAAAACGCGATTAGTAAAACTTATTTGGTAATTATTTTAATTATAACCCGACGTTTTGGATGCCGGATGTAGTCAGTTTAACTGGCACTTATCAGGTTTTATTTAAATGTGTACTACTCTCGTAAACTACATTGAGGTCCATAATTCAAACTAAACAGACTGAATAATTATCTCCAGGTAGTGGTAAGCGTGCCCTTTTGGACGTCATCAGTCGTCGAGTGCCTTCCAAAGGCCATATCTTGCTCGAAGGTGTCCCACTGGAGGAAGACCATTTCAGGAATACATGTGCCGTGGTCAGGCATTCTACGAAGCTGCTGCCAGGTCTTACTGTCCAGCAGACTCTATCATTATCGTTAACCAAGGTAAAAAAAGGCGGCTGAATTTAAATCTTTCTTTCTCTGTATTTCATAATTTAAAAAAAGCAACTACGCTCTGGAGAATAAAATCTAATCAAATTTGAAGTTTCTGAAATGAAAATGTCTAATAAACTAAAGCTACTTCTACTTGGCTTTTCGAAGACTTAATCTTGGTTGGTGATACCAACTACTAGCAATGGTGAAGATGTGACAACCGCTTCTAAATAAAGACGGCCTAGTAGCTATACAATATCTAATAACTATTAAGATAGTATATGATTTAAAAATCGAAAATAAATTGAAAAAATTTTCGACTCGGGCAGGACTTGAACCGGCATCGTCAGCTTTCCGTGCTGTTGCTCTACCAATTGAGCTACCGAGTCCTACACCTCATCGTCGAATTTTTTCAACTTATTGATACATGCACCTCTCGCGCAATGTAATTTCTACCTTAACACTTGCGTATTAAGGCTCAATGTCTTATGCTTTGCAGCTTAAGAAATCATTGAAGATGAAATTACAAAGTTATAACGTTTGAAAACATTAATATTTTTCACATGTTATTGCACATGAAGGCACTATATAATTTAAAAATCGAAAATAAATTGAAAAAATTTTCGACTCGGGCAGGACTTGAACCGGCATCGTCAGCTTTCCGTGCTTTTGCTCTACCAATTGAGCTACCGAGTCCTACACCTCATCGTCGAATTTTTTCAACTTATTGATACATGCACCTCTCGCGCAATGTAATTTCTACCTTAACACTTGCGTATTAAGGCTCAATGTCTTATGCTTTGCAGCTTAAGAAATCATTGAAGATGAAATTACAAAGTTATAACGTTTGAAAACATTAATATTTTTCACATGTTATTGCACATGAAGGCACTATATAATTTAAAAATCGAAAATAAATTGAAAAAATTTTCGACTCGGGCAGGACTTGAACCGGCATCGTCAGCTTTCCGTGCTGTTGCTCTACCAATTGAGCTACCGAGTCCTACACCTCATCGTCGAATTTTTTCGAATCGAAAATAAATTGAAAAAATTTTTTCAATTTATTTTCGATTTTTAAATTATATAGTGCCTTCATGTGCAATAACATGTGAAAAATATTAATGTTTTCAAACGTTATAACTTTGTAATTTCATCTTCAATGATTTCTTAAGCTGCAAAGCATAAGACATTGAGCCTTAATACGCAAGTGTTAAGGTAGAAATTACATTGCGCGAGAGGTGCATGTATCAATAAGTTGAAAAAATTCGACGATGAGGTGTAGGACTCGGTAGCTCAATTGGTAGAGCAACAGCACGGAAAGCTGACGATGCCGGTTCAAGTCCTGCCCGAGTCGAAAATTTTTTCAATTTATTTTCGATTTTTAAATTATATAGTGCCTTCATGTGCAATAACATGTGAAAAAATATTAATGTTTTCAATAGTATATGATTGCGCGAAAGCTGCATGTATTGTTGACGATGACGTATTAAGGTCAATTGGTTATAGCAACAGCACGAAACGCTGTGGATGCCGGTTCAAGTGCTGCCTGTATCGTAATTTTTCAACCTGAAATCGATTTTTAATTTAAGTCTAAATTATTATTATTATTCTTCTAATCGATTAATCACTTATCGACTCATATTTATTTCGATCATTAGTATAACTTGCATTTTGTTCTTGTATCTTTAACGGTTTAAAACGCGATATATTAGTTAAACTTATTTAAAATGATTTTTAACTTCGGCCCGACGTTTCGGATGCTTTGCAGCAGCCGTGAAGAACCCCCCGAGAAGTTAAAAATCATTTCTAAATAAGTTTAACTAAAATCTAAGTTAAAGTGTTTTATTTCAATGTGTAAAACTCGCGTAAACTATAGACAGTATTTGCATTTTGTTGTTTTCAGATTTCAGGGTATCTCAAATCATCAAAGGTCAAACAAGTAATGGCGGACTTAGCCCTGTCACAGGTATTTAATACTCACTATAGAATATGTGACGGCCTTATTGGGGCAGTGGTTACACTCAATTGCAGGGCACGAGGTCGTGGGTTTGAAATCCGGGTCGTTTCGGTACTTGTAATTTATTGATTGTCCAATTATAATTTCAATGAAAGCCTATTTATAAAGACAAGCATATTATTCACTTGATGGAAGGTGCCACAACCATATAACATCTCAACTAGACGCGCTGTCGACCTGTTTTTATTTGGATATTTGAAAACGAAATTTCACCGTTTCTAGCTCTGTTGACGGGTCTCCATTTAATTAGATTTCCAAACACGTTGGAGCTGGTGGGGATCGAACCCACGACCCGTTGATTACCAATACATTGCTACAAACCACATCAAAGTGCATGAGACCAACGACGTCAAAGTAAGTTGTTAAAATACCATAAAGATATAATATTTCTGTCCAGGTTGCTCATAAGTGCGTTACAAGCCTAACGAAAAGCGAATATAGAAGATTGGTGATTGGAGTACAGTTGATCAGAGACCCAAGTAAGTAAAGACTCGAAACAAGTGAAAAATCTTAAATCGTTTTAGATCATTTTTATTCATGTAATTATTACATTTTATATTTGTCCTTGTCTCTAGCTATTTGCGTGCGTTATAAACAAAAACAACAAACAGTAGAGTAGTAAACAATATCTATTTCTTAAGTCTGGAACTCCACCACCAGCGCTATTAAATTATTGCGGTGCCGATCTAATTTTTGATACTTAGAACTTACTTCTTGATAAATAGTCATCAGATGTCAAAAAACCTAAACAAAACAAAGTGATAACACGGGCGGATCTTGAACCGGTATCCACACCGATCCAAGCTGACCTAACCAAGCTACCTAATCTGTATTTTAACTTAATACATTTTGATTATATAAAAATGCTAAACCTAAACTGTTTTATTTAATTTTAAAAATCATTTAACGGTTTAAAACCAAATTTAAACTTATTTGAAAATGATTTTTACTTCGGCCCGACGTTTCGTATGCTTTGCAGCAGCCGTGGTCACGGGGAGAAACGTCGGGCTGGGAGTTAAAAATTGTTTAAGTGTTTTATTTAAATGTGTACTACTCGTGTAAACTATAGACAGTATTTGTTTTATTTAATTTCAGTAATTCTCTTACTGGACGAACCTACTTGGGATTTGGACCCTCTGAACACTTATCTCGTTATATCCATCTTATCCAACGTGGCAAAGAAGTATGGCTCAGCTATCATACTTACTATGGAGAAACCACGGTCAGGTACTTAATTCCTATTACTTGTATATGCTGTAACCCAATCGATCTATTTTTTTAATGAAGGAGAACAGACAAGCACGGGGTTATCTTGATGGTGATATACCCCAGCCTACCATCTAAACAAGGTGCGTTGTCGACCTATTTTAGCTTTGGATATTCGGAAATCCACACCGAAACTCGATTCACGGCCTTTTCATCTGTGGACGGTGGTTCGTATTCCGGACGGAATTTCTATATTCCTACCATCTATTTAATACCCAGATTTCCAGACGAATTCCAACATGTTTCAGAAAAATTATAAACATGAACCCACGACTAATCACTATGGTTATTAGCTATGAATAATACCTTAATTAAGCTGTCTCTTAATAACATAACAAAAATGAAACATTGTATTACGTAACTTGGTCTCTGCAGCTTCAAAGGTGACCTATGGTCTTCTTATCTTCAAAATTTGAAAGTCACTATTCCCTTCCAGATGTCTTCCCATTTCTCGATCGCGTGGTATATCTTTGTCTTGGAGACGTCGTATACGCAGGCCCGACGCGAAATTTGCTAGACTATTTCGGCAGTATTGGTTTCCCTTGCCCGCAGTTGGAGAATCCGTTGATGTACTACTGTAAGTTTTTATTCTACTTTTTATAGAATTAATGTTTTTATAGATACATAATATTATGGTTTGGCTGTTAAAAAAGGTATATTTGAGAATATTTCTCTATCAAGATTGGTTCCAAATAAACTGAACTACCTGAGAAAATTACAGAATTAATATAGTTTATATTATAAAATATTTCTCTAAGATTGATTGGAACTACCTGATCCGAAAAAAGTTGTTTATTATATTGATCATGATACAATTCGAATAAATAACTTTAATTATGCTTTAATTTAGAATCTTAATTAAGACATATTATCGCGTACATTTTATTATAGGTCATGTAAATCTTTCATACATATTCTTTGGTTTCTTGAACCGTTTTCGTAGCGCATGCAACAGAAGCCATCAAACATGGATAATTTTCCCAGGTTTTCTATATTTTCCGCTGTTTCTTCGCTCCTATTGTCTTAGCGTGTTGTTATATAGCCAAAAGCCTACCTCGATAAATGGTCTATGCAACATTAAAAATAAATGAATTCGAAAGAGTAGGTCCTAAGATTAACTCTTTCAACTAAATAATATTAGTGTAGATTTAAAAAGCATTTTTTACTCCAGAACAAAAACTAACAACATTTTTTTCTTATCTTTAGTGTGCCTATCAACAGTAGACAGACGCTCTAGAGAAAGATTTATCGAGTCCAACCATCAGATAGCAGCATTGGTGGAGAAATTCAAGGTCGAAGGTCAGGGTATAATGCAGGGCAACCCTGCTGAACACAACCGAATTATTAACCCTAATAAAATTCAGATGAATTATGGAAAACCTGGTGGAGTCAAAGTTCTATTCATGCTATATTTGTAAGTAAACCTTTTTACTGATGAGCTCGTTGGTGTTGTGGTGGCAATGTAAGGCTAATGTTGTGGTATCGATGAGTTGTGGGTTCGATTACCACAGGGTTCAAGATTATTGTAATAAATTCCATCCGGGAATCTCCGTTACCAGTTGAATCTGTTGAAGCTTCAATCTGTGTATTTCCGAATATAAGTTTTTCGATGCTCTTTGCTAACCCGGCAGTATAAGAATATTGTTTAAATTAAAACTATCAAACAATACTTTGAAATGTTCTAGATCATTGGATTGATTGATGTAGTTCAAACCGACAGGTTATAAACCAAATAATGTATATGTATCGAGTTTCAAACAGTTAAAAAGCGATGCCTTAGTTTTTAACTGGTTTGACGTTACGTGAATTAAATGATTATTGACGTTGACTTTAGCTACTAGTAGATAGTCTTCAACTGTAACTTTTACAGACTCACGGTCAATTAAATTCCCCTTCTATCACGTTTTCAGGCGAATTCTACTATCGATATTCAACTTCAAGAAAAACGGACTAAAACAGATGTCCATGCGTCTACTGTCTCTACCTTTTTACTTCTGTATTCTGTGGATATTCTATAATGAAGCGAAGGTATACATATATTTTCTGATATAATATACTTTGTGTTTTTCATTATACTATATTGACTATATTTTTTTTAGGATTACCAGCGAGCTTTTATAACTAAAAGCGGGCTCATATTCAACGCAATGTTGGGGACGTACTTTATCAGTATTATGAACACAATATGCCTATGTAAGTATTTAGTGTATTCTTTCTAACTCGGCATAACAAATACTAGGCCTATTTCAAACCACAGAGAACTAGTAATGACCCTTTAAAGAGTGAAGATCTTGACACAGATGACATATATGGAATAAACTACCTTAATTTTTAAAATCATTTTTAACGACCTGTTTATATTTATTTTTGCCATTATTAATAACTCGACGTTTGTAACGCCTTCCAGCGATGGATAAGTGGCACTTCTACCCTCTTGGTTTTAATAATTTTAGCATGAATCTGTGGTGTTTCATAAGTGAATTTGAGGTAGTTCATTAATTGAATATATAAATCAGTGTTTGTTTACAAAAAATGCCAAGTAAGAAAAAATACATTATACACGAGTAAAGGAAAGCCCAGGGCGTTGTTTTCTGTGAACAACTAGGTAAATATTATTATTCCGATTGTACGATATATAATTATAAGTAACAACTTCACAGACGGACCATACAGAACCCGCTACTACCAGGAGTCCCAAGAAGGTCTATACAGCGGCGCAAGCCTCCTCCTTGCTTGGAATATGGTATCACTCCCGTTTTCCTTCATCACTGCCTTTGCGTCTGCTGCCATAATTTATCCGTAAGTAACACTTACTTTTCATTCATTTTAACTGCTTTTTTATCTGTGGACCGAACGGAATTTCGATATTCCTACCGCCCATTTAATATCTAGATTTCCAGAGGAGGACTATTTCAGAATTGTAAATTGATTTTTAAAATCTTGAAGCCGGTGGGAAACGTACCCACGATCCGTCACTACCATTAGACCAACAAGTCCGTCTAAACGTTGCTTGATCTCCACATTCAGATAATCGGCTTTGTCCTTATCCGACCCGACATCTTTTTACCACAACATCTCTCTCATGTTTTGTTACAACAATAACCCAAGGAAACCTTATATGACCAGCCCATTATTTTGAAATTTTGTCTCTATTTTATATATGACCTACATTATTTTTTCCAGAATACTCGGTGACATCACAGAAGGTATGGACTATGTGTACTTTGCCCTAGTGCTCTGGTCATGCTACATATACGCGGAACAGCAATCATTAGCAATCATGATGTTCGTTAAGAATGGCTTAATAGCTGCTATCGTGAACATCTATATCACTTGCATTTACGTGATGCTGGCCAGCGGAGTTTTAAGGTGAGTTAATTGACCTCTTCTGATATAAATAGGACACGAGCCGTAGGTATTTTGGTGGTTTAGACGTTGTGGGTTTGATCCCCACCAGGTCTAACACGTTTCCTATCTTTCTGAAGAATGTCAGACTTCATTTGGAAGTTGGGGATGGGTAGTGGGAACATCAAAACTCCGTCCGGGTCACGAACAACGGTCCACAGATAGAATAGCTGTTAAGTTCAATATCTTTAGCGAAATATACACTATAATAATTATCATTGTAATTATTTGAATTTAGATTTCGACTATGTATATTTGTGTACAGATAATACTGTTTTAATTTAAAAAAAACCACGCTGGCGGGACCGGCATCCAAAGGCATCCGGAATCTAACCAACTGATCCTGATGATGATGTGTCGTTTTATTTCAGATCCTACAAAGGCTATGAAGAGTGGCTCTTCTACCTAACATACGCGACGCACACCCGCTACGCGTCCATATTCCTCCACCGAAACATTTTCAAGCAGCCCACATTCAATATCCTACCGTACGATGACGAAGACAACTGCACATCGATTACCAACCTCATACAGACCTCGGCTACCCTCAACACGAACTCAAACGCCAACTGCCGATACGCGAGCGGCAAAGCCTTCTTAACAGAACGTTTTACAGCTAAGAACTTTGCTGGTGATATATATTTGACTGGCGATTTCAATCCGGATTTTAATTTGGGCGTCTCTTTCGCTTTTTCTTTGGGAATCATGGTGCTGAATAAGTTTTTGTATTTGATGCCCTTGCCGAGTTATATCACTGATAAGTTTAGAGAGTAAATCTTGTTTTTATACGAAGTTTGTAAAGTAAGTAGATGTTTAGCGCTGAACGAAATGTAGAGGGGATAGTTGCGCATCTGTACAATCGCGCACGTAATTGATTCGAAAACGTGACTGCACTCGAGATGCAAGCGGAGCGTCGTATTGGTCCGAGAAAGTCAACATGAGTGGGGAACCAATTAACGCTAGCGCACATGACGTTCACTCGCCCCGCGCCCGCTTCCGTCCCTTCGATATCTTATTTTTGACTTCTGCGCAGGATTCGTTTAGCACTAAAGATCCGTTCCGGCATTAATTTAAACGTTTTAAAACAATTAAATATAGTATTAACAGACACTTAGAGATTTAATTAAAAACATAATTTATTCAAGGAATTTCAACAAAATTTAGTTAAATAATGAAGGTATTTTTACAATGAACAGTTAATTTATGCGTTTTTAGATGTTCCGAAATAATATGATCTGCAAGCAAAATATTTTTAATGAATTTAAGTTAAAATATATATTTTTATGATTTTTTGGGGGGGGGGGAAAAAAAAGGGAGGGGGGGGGGGGGGGGGGGGGGGGGGAAAAAAGAAATTTTTTTTTTTTTTTTTTTTTTTTTTTTTTTTTTTTTTTTTTTTTTTTTGGGGGGGGGGGGGGGGGGGGGGGGGGGGGGGGTTTTTTTTTTTGGGGGGGGGGGGGGGGGGGGGGGGTTTTTTTTTTTTTTTTTTTTTTATTTAAAAAGGGGGGGGGGGGGGGGGGGGGGGGGGGGGGGGGGGGGGGCGGGGGGGGGGGTTTTTTTTTTTATAAAAAAAAAAGGGGGGGGGGGGAAACCCCCCCCCCCCCCCCCGGGGGGGGGGGGGGGGTTTTAAAAAAAAAAAAAAGGGGGGGGGGGGGGGGGGGGGAAAAAAACTTCCTCCCCCCCCCCCCCCCGAAACAACCCATTTTTTCCCCGGAAAAAAAAAAAAAGGGGGGGGGGAAAGTAAACACAACAAAAAAATAATTATATTTCTATAGTATATATTAAACACTTGACCGTAATTTGAAGCCTACATGATTGAGAGAGGCGCTGTTTTGTTTCCGCTTAGTATATTGACTCTCGAATATTTGCCTTCCGTTTCCGCTCACCAGGTGTCGTGTGCTTCCGGTTGTGTCAACCGAATACCTAGTCTACTTTTTCGATGCACACGCTTTTGCTCTCCATTGGCGTCAAAATTTCCGCAGAAGGAGGTTGTCCCCTCAGAACCAGCAACCTCTCCGAAATTTTTGTGCTTAGTTATTAAAAGTGTTAAAAAGTGAAGTGTGCTGTTTCGTCGAGCAGTAAGTTTTCATTCCTTATATTTTACACGTGTTAAAATTACAAAATGTTATGTTCTTATAGTTTTTTTTTTTTCAAGTGATATTTTATTCTAAAGTATTATTTTAACGGTGTTACCGTTCGGCCAACGTGGCAGTGAATAGAAGTAGTAGTACTTTACGCTAAAGCCTTCCTATAAACGGTTTTATTGCTTGAGGGGTTCGTATTCAAACGTTTTAAAGCAAAAGCTTATAAAATTAAGAATTATTTTCTTAATGTATATTTATCATGTCCTAAAGGGTAGTGAGTAGAGTAATAATTATTTCTATTAGGATGGATGCACATGGATTCGGCGTATCTAACGTCGCACAATGGTGCGACGTTAGATACGCCGACAAAAAGTCTTACATTTGTACACCGGGCTTCACTGACCTAGAAATAAATGACGAATTAAAACAGTTTGATATATATCATAATTTATCTAAGGTAGACAGACATATGGTGCTTTAACTTTCGCCGTCCTCAAACAAAGAGACGCGCTTCAATCTCGAATGTCAGAATAACTTAACTGGGCCCAAGAGTCCGGTAGTATTTCAGTAGACCAGTTCTTGGCTAACGTAACTGAAATATTTTCAAACGGTGAATACTACAAAGTATCATCGGACTTACTTCAAATAATCTGTGGACGTCGAGCTGAATCGATTGAATTACGTAGGGACGGCATTTTGAAGCATGTAAGGAAACCCTTACTGAAGGGTGCCTTACGAAAAATACCACCCTCAAATAAATATATTTTTAATCCTGAACAATTGACTGCGGCGCTTAAAAAGCTGGTGGTACTAGAAAAGCCTTCTTACCCATGAACAAGTATTCAGGTAGTTCGCGAACCGTGGTGCAAACGGATACAAGAAAAATGCCTCATTTCACTCCCAGAGGGGCTATAAATAACTCACCCGCGAAGGGTGTCACGGAGCCAGCGTATGGCTGTAATTCGCAGTCTCATACTTTTAGGCCTACGCAGGGCTCTAACTATTATCGTTCCACGCAGGGACATGATTTTAAAAGGAGATCAGGGGGTGCCTCGATGAACTTTCGAAATTCCTTTCGTCAACGAGACGGTCAACCAGGCAATACTAGACACGAAGCTTTCACTTCAGGTAAGAAAAGACCGGTGTCTTCCGACCATAAGAAAGGAAGTAAGCGGGGCCGTTACTGACAACCAATTCATAGCGGGCCAATTGCTACATTACGTGGATCGATGGGAGCAGTTAGGTGCCCCTGATCTCTATTATAAAAGGTTATCGAATTCCTTTCATAACCAAACCACCACTTTTAATGCCAGAAAATCAACGGATTACATTAGAATCAATGACAACATCAGCGGCCATTGCCCAGATGTTATCTCAGAAGGTTTTAAAGCAGGTTCCAGCCTCACCAAGCTTCGTTTCACCAATATTTTTGGTACCAAAGCCCGATGACAGAGATCGACCTATTCTGAACCTAAGCTTAAAAGCCTTAAACAAATTTGTCAAAACAAAGCCTAAATATTCGTAGAGTGCCAGATTTCCTACAAACAAGAGACTGGCTCTGCAAAGTGGATTTGTCCCAAGCCTACTTCAACGTGCCGATTGCCAGATCGCACCGAAGGTTTTTAAGACTGATACACCAAGGGCAGTTAATGGAAATGACATGTTTACCGTTTCGTCTCAGCACGGCTCCCAACGTTTTTGCAACCCAACAAACTGGGTGGCACAAACACTGAGAAAAATGACGAGACGATGTCTGGACCGTCAGGCACTCATACAAATAACCGACGAAATAAATCGCGCTCTAAATCTGTCTCGTCATCATCCTCGTCTTCCTCCTCGGAGTCTGATCACAAACGTAGTCGTCGACGTCGCGTTTACAAAAAAAAGGGGGGGGCAAATATGGCTCAAATAACGACGATATATTATATAAACTATCCAAGGATCTAAACGATCTTCGCCAAAAAGTGTTTGAAGGCTGTGGCATTGCACAAACAAACAATTTTTACCAGTATCGCGATAATGACGAAATTTCAATTATGGTAAATAGTGATAGATCTCGTTATGAACAGGAATCGTCTCCTAAAGCGACAGTCAAAATCAATTTAAAATGAATTTCGAGATTAAACTAAAGGAACCTACAACTCCGTCGGCTCCTGAAAATTATCTTAACCTCTTAACTAATATGCAACATTTCGAGGGAATAAGAGTACTAGTATACTTAGACGATTTCTTGATAGCTCACCAGGACTACAATGTACTCTGCAGGCAGGTTCAAATTGTATTAGAGCGTCTAAAATATTTAGTCTGGAGAATCAACATGGAAAAGTCGATAACTGTTCCAACGAAATCGCTCGTGGTTTTAGGCATACACTGGAACCCATGGCTCAACAAAAAGTCGATTCCAGAGAGCAAATCAATACGGCTTCAGAAACTACTTATAACCTTGATAAACTCGGGCATGACTTCAATAAGTGTTCTTCAAAGCCTAATAGGACTGTTAAATTTCGTCAGCTTTGCTGTAACACAAGGCAGATTACACTTCCGAAATGCTCTTGTATTCCTAAACAGGCAACTAAAGGAATCGCTTGTACACGAAACTGTCATTCCTCAAAAGGTAAAAGAGGATCTTGTTTGGTGGCTTGCAAATCTTCGAAAACCTTCTTAATACATTACCCGCTCCCGTCACACTCCATGACAACCGATGCATCAGATATAGCATGGGGTGCTCAAATCGACGATTGTTCACTGTGTCCACACAGTTCCTTTGTCTAAGGAACAAAAATATGTCCAGCATAGACAAACAAGGAACAGAAGCTTCATTGCAAAGCAAAAGAAATGTTGGCAATTCTGAAGTCACTCACATTGCTAGTCGCAAGGATAGCCAACTCAACGCTACTAGTCCAGTGCGACAACAAGACTGTTGTAGCCTTCCTGAGGAACGAAGGTGGTACAAGATCCCCTACTCTTTTGAAGTTCACAAAGCAAATTTATCAAATTCTCTATTCTCACAAAATTTATCTGAGAATACATCGTATACCAGGAAAGTACAAAAGTCACGCAGATCACCTATCGCGTCACCGGACTCCGCCAGAATGGCACCTTGTGCCTCAGTGTACGAAAAAAAAAAAAAAAAAAAACTTCGTGAAGTTCGGTGTTCCGGTGATAAGCTTGTTTTCCTCGATGTGTGCAAAGGTGGTAGCAAATTATGTGTCACTAGACCTGAAAGACCCTCAAGCTCTGTATCACGATACTTTCTCCCGAAATTGGCATTTCTCCCTAGCGAGGGTATTTCCACCCCCATTTCTGATTCCGAAGGTCACACCTGAACTCGGCAGTCGGAATGTATCTCTTGATAGTACCAAAATGGGAGAAAGTATTTTGGAGGCCGAATTTGAAGGCCCGAGCTGTAGCACCTCCTCATACAATAAAAAAAGTTACACTTATGCCCCATCGATGCGGTAACAGGATTAGCCTCACCCCAGGTGACATGACAATGACAATGGAAGTATGGAAATGTGGGGGTGGACAAAAGATTTGATTAACTAGAATACAGAACAGATAAACCTTTTAAAGACCTCTTGGCGTGATTCCACCAGTAAGACCTACGAATGCGCATGGAATAATTGGAATAAACCCCGAGGTCTTAACCCCTTACATCCTACTGGAGAAGTTTTAGCTCGATTTCTGGCAGATCCACATGTTGTGGAAGGTCTGGCTTACAACACAATTGTTTTACATAAATCCGTTGTCGCGACCTTATGTAATTCCGACGATTCTGGAAAGTTAAGCAATCATGTATTAAAATAAAACACTTTAACGGTTTAAAACGCGATATATTAGTTAAACTTATTTGAAAATGATTTTTAACTTCGGCCCGACGTTTCGGATGCTTTGCAGCAGCCGTGACCATCGCGTTTTAAACCGTTAAAGTGTTTTATTTAAATGTGTACTACTCGCGTAAACTATAGACAGTATTTAATCATGTATTAGTAAATCATATATATTGAAATCGATCGCTTTAAAGAAACCGATTACTAGAAGGCCACAGATTTGGGACATTGATATAATTTCTTTTCTTAAATCTTATACTATAGATGAGGCTAATGTTTTTCAATCGTGCAGACATACAGCTCTATTACTAATTCTCTACTCTGGCAGAAGGATTCATGATTTGACTCTTTTGGCAGCTGATTCAAAACGTATGCACCAAGGTAATGGCCATGTTATATTATAGCCCATCTTTGGTCCAAAGACCGACACGGCTACTTATAGACAGTCCGGCTGGAACTTGTTAGCAAATTATTCTCATAAAAACTTAGATCCAGTCTTCTGGGTAGGTCATTGTACCACGTTATTAAGGAAGAAACGAGAAGAAAGAAACTTAATAAACTTATTTTTAAACATAAGGAGAAAGCCAAAAGCTGCTTCCCGTACATTTATCGCGGGCTGGATAAAGACCCTACTTGTTGATGCAGGAATAAAGGCTTCACCGGGCAGCCTACGTTCTGCAGTGGCGTCTAAAAGTTCGTCTAAAAACTGTCCTCTGGATGAAATTCTGTCTAAAGAGAATTGGAGATCTCTGAACACATTTGCTCGTTTTTATTGCAAAGAAGTGGTGCCACTAGATAAAAATCTCACAATATTCAAAGTATGTTTACTCCGATTGGATAAATAGATGGTAATAGCTGGTTATATTTCTAAGTTATTTCCACCCTTACAAATACCAATTTGTAAACTATGTAGTAATAATACAAGTTGATTACAACATAGTGTTATGTTTTTAAAGAAGGCAAATAAATAAGTCGTCTAGTATTTTTGCCTCTTTTCATTAATTGTTCTTGGTGTTCTTAACTATGATAAAATTGTAACTAATCGTTCACATTGGCGTCCCTAGTCACCAGGTGATATCAAACACGTCTCAATCATGTAGGCTTCAAATTACGGTCAAGTGTTTAATAACAGTGTTTTACCTGAAAATAAAACACATATTAAATACTTACCTATATTTGAAGCCTACAATTTAAATTCTACCTGGTGATGATTTCGACGCAATGGAGAGCAAAAGCGTGTGCATCGAAAAAGTAGACTAGGTATTCGGTTGACACAACCGGAAGCACACGACACCTGGTGAGCGGAAACGGAAGGCAAATATTGGAGAGTCAATATACTAAGCGGAAACAAAACAGCGCCTCTCTCAATCATGTAGGCTTCAAATATAGGTAAGTATTTAATATGTGTTTTATTTTCAGGTAAAACACTGTTAAAAAAAAAAAAAAAAAAAAAAAAAAAAAAAATTATGTTGGGGGGTGTTAAAAATTTTGTTTTTTTTTAACCCCCCCCCAAAAAAGGGGCCCAAAAAAAAAAAAAAAGTGTGGGGGGAAACAAAAAAAATTCTTCTCCGGTTTTGTTTTTTTTTTTTCTTCCCGGGGGGAAACCATCCCCAAAAAATATTTTTTTTTTTTAATTTTTTTTAAAGAAATTTTTAACGGTTTTTTTAAGATAGAAAAGAGTAATGTACATGTAATGTATACTATCTTAAGACTAATAATTTAAAGAACTTACTATATAAGACTATAGTTTTGTTTAATTTGTTGATAGTGACCTGAAAATTAAAAATGTTTGAGTTATTATGAACACAACAATAGTGTTTTTCTTACTTCTTTTAATTTAATAAAAATTACACTGCATATATATGAGATAATCATCATTTAAACTCTATTTTCATCCTGTCTTTTCTAAGTTTTAAGAATCTTTAGGTCAGACACAACCTAATAGCCATTTTATTTAACATTCAGCACATTAAATATTGTAAATTACCTTTACCTTGCTTTTTTTCAACCAGGAGCAAGTATAAAGCAAATAGATAATTAAAAATTTAAATACTTACGGGTGATAGAACAAACTCTCTATATTTCTTTAAATAGATTTTCAAAGGCTCAACGTAATTGTCAAATCCGAGAGTATTCATAGCAAATAGTATATCCTCTCCATTAATTGTTTTCCGCTTCTCCATTTTGCATCTCTCACTTGCTTCACTTGTGATGAAGGAGACAAATTCAGATATGCACTCTTGAACACATTCGCGAGCATCTTTTGCTATCTGAAAATTTAGTAAGAATTTTAAGCAAAGTAAAGTGAGGGAACAATTTATCTGCAGTATATAGGGACAAGCACAAACGTAAGTTGAATTTTTGAATACATTATTACTATTATAATTCATAGTTCAAAGTCACTTAAGACTTTATACATCTCTATTAGTTGTATTGTACACGCTACTTGTCCATGAGTTTATAATTACAAAAACTTCATCTTACTTTTCCCTTCTCTGGAATACCCCGTTTCATAATCTTTGCTATATTTGCAATTGGCAAGAATCTGTCTTGTTCACGCAATGGTGTATTTTTGTAGCCACTATTTGAGTCTGAGTTGTTACCATCAGGATCTATGGAAATAAATAACGCAGTAAAACCTGACCTCGAACTAAATTTTAAGCTTCTCTGCTTTAGTTTGATAGTAATTATGACAAAAATTGATGCCAGGAAAAATGTAAATATACATTTTAATATTGTGACTTTATTTATTTAAATACTTATTTTAATTAGTAGATGAGCACGAATAAAGTAAACTTTTCGTGGTTAAAACACACGTTATGTATGAGGTAACGAATTATGCGTATGGTAGGCGTTTCGAGTGCTTTTCAGCGTTCAAACCATTGGGTTGATGAAAAATTTTTAACTATTTATATAAATAAAACAAAGCTTAGTTAATATTTTTGTTAACCATACCTAGACAGTCGTCGGATTTTACAACGTAAGTCTCCTCGTCCACTAAGAATCCATTATCGAGTCTCACTAACTCGGCTCCTAGCTCATCGCCTTCCATAATGCTCCTTAAAAATAGAAACAAACAGATTTGCTTGTCGCAAAATGAAAGATCAAAGATATTAAATGTTTGATAAATTGTTAAAAAACTTGTTCGAGAAGAAGACACCATAAAGAGAAATAATATTTTGACAAAAATATTATTTGCTTATATGACAATTGACAAACTTCTTAAAAGTTGTTTCACTTACTCTATGGTAGATGGTCCTATTCTTAGTATAGTCTACATTCATAATTGTTATTTGTCCATTATTATATTATCTGTTGTCATTTGTCAATATTAATCAATAACCATTTTTCAATTCGATTAGAACTAATTAATTTCTGTTTTCACTTTCAAATAAAGTGAACAATTAATAAAATGATGTGCATGAACCTAATATAGTAATAACTAATCGGAAAGAGTATCTAATTCTGTATTTCATATTATAATGCAATGAAAAATTCCCGTTTCGTATAAAAATAATTAATTGGCGGCTAATTTTGAGTCAGATCGGAGCGGCTGCTGAGTTGGTTTTAAAGATTCGAACTCGAGGTTAAGAATCATCTTAGAATCATCAACAGATCCTTTAATCTGTAATCATGGGTGTTCCTAAGTTCTTTAGATACACAAGTGAAAGGTACCCGTGCCTTAACGAATTGGTGAAACAGTATCAGGTAAGTTTTTTTTTCTTTATTGTATAATCTATTAACAAAAACTTTGCATCCAGAATCAGAATTATTTTTTATACAAAAAATGCTGATCTCGACTTGACTAGTCAACTCTGTTTATAAACAGGTTATATCCCAAATTATGTCACAGCAACCAGGTAAAACTATTCATCCCTTGTTATACTGGATGTTAAATATATGTGCAAGGTTTTTTATTACTTCTTGTGATATGGAATATCTTTTTTTACTTTTGATAAAAAAGGCAAATAAAGGGTATGACTAATATTTAATGCATTTATAGGCTTTGTGTATTCTTTTTAGATTCCCGACTTTGACAATATGTATTTGGACATGAATGGCATCATTCACAATTGTTCTCATCCAGATGACTCTAATCCACACTTTCGGATTACAGAAGAAAAGATATTTAAAGATATTTTTCATTACCTGAGCATATTGTTTCAAATTATTAAGCCGAAGAAGCTGTTTTTTATGGCAATTGATGGTGTAGCTCCAAGAGCAAAAATGAATCAACAAAGAGGAAGAAGGTACGTTATCAGTTTTTTTTAACATGCTTTTGTACCACATAAAATGAAAGTCTTAAATCTTCTGACAATTGTTATTGAATGTGCCTCCGCTGCTTGTTATGTTGCCTCTCACAATCTACATTACCTCTCTCAGTGCTACATTTCTAAATATAAAAAATGCGAATTTCAGATTTCGATCTGCAAGGGAGGCAGAAGAGTTAGAAGCAAAGGCAAAAGCGAAAGGTATGTCTTTATAATTTTATCAATGATAGTTTAATATTTCAATGTTGATTGAATTATTATATTTCATACGGTTCTTCTAGTTCTCTCTTTATAAAGACGCTTTGTCTTTATAAAAGGCCTTGTTGACTGAAATGGGTTATGGCATTTTAACACTACACTATATAAATAAGATCTAAATTATATCTAACTTACTTAATAATGAAGATATTGATCATACCTATTATGATTGTAATATGTAACTTTATTTAAACATTATTTTAGGTGAGGTGTTACCTACTGAAAAAAGATTTGATAGCAACTGCATAACACCAGGCACAGTGTTTATGGCACGACTCCATGAACAGTTGAAGTACTTTGTTAAGATGAAGATCTCTACTGATCCTTTGTGGTCTAAAGTAAAAGTTATTCTCTCAGGACATGAGGTATGAGTTATTATTGCTGCTGTCAGCATACATATGTAGTTATAGACTATAGACAGTCTATAATCTCTGCCACAAAAAAATATTTGAAAGATAAAGAAGAATCTGAATAAAAATTGCATACCTTTTATTTTAAAGTAATTTAATTATATACTGTCTGTAGTTTACTTGAGTAGTACACATAAAAATAAAACAATTTAACGGTTTAAAACGCGAAATATATAAGTTCAACTTATTTAAAAATTATTTTAACTACATCTAGATGTTTTGGATGCTTTGCAGCAGCCGTGATTATAGGGAGACTCCCCGCGTATGTCGCGTTTTATATCATTAAAGTAATTTATTTAAATAATGTAATTATGTTAAATGCATGCAACACTATCTAAATAGTTAATCTATAACTATAATGTCTACAACACCTTGCAACATTATAAAAATCTATCTGTCATGGCTTAAATAGTTTGTAAAAATTAATTCTGCCTAAGAATTTTTCAATTCCTTACCAATTATTATAAATAATTTTAGTTAAATTAATTTACTATATTTAGACCCCAGGAGAAGGTGAGCATAAAATAATGGACTACATACGTTGGGCTCGCTCCCAGCCAGACTATGACCCCAACACAAGACATTGTCTATACGGCTTGGACGCTGATCTTTTTATGTTAGGGATGTGCACTCATGAACCACATTTTGCCTTGCTGAGAGAAGAGGTAAGTTATAGACGATAAACCTTTTGTCCTATAATACAGTAATTTATTCTTAGTTTTCGTCATTTTTGAAATGCGTCACATATTATATCTTACAGAATTAGAAGAAACTTTCATTTTGATATATTTTCTTTTTCCATAGTTGTGATTTGAAATACAAACTTTTTCCATTTTAGAGAATATGCTCTTATGCTCTATATGTTTTTATAGAATAGATTTTTAAGCTTTGCTATTTTTTCATAATTACCTTTTTTAATCATTAAACCCTTGATGTAATAGTTTTTAAGTAGTTCCTATTTTACAGGTGAAATTCGGTAAAACGACACAAAGAGCAACCAGCATAGAAGAGACAAACTTCTATCTCCTTCACTTGGCTCTACTCCGAGAGTATTTGGAACAGGAGTTCATTTCCATAAAAGATAAACTGCCATTCCCATTTGACATAGAGAAAGTGGTGGATGACTGGGTGCTTATGGGATTCCTGGTGGGGAACGATTTCATCCCACATTTACCCAACATGCATATAAGCAATGATGCTCTGCCGTTGTTGTACAAAACTTATATGACTGTTTTACCAACGTTGGATGGTAGGAGTTTTAACATGTTTATGTATATAAGAGCAGACAAAATTTTAATCGCACACTGTAGCTCAATTGGTTGCTCAACGCGCGAAATGCCGTGAATGCATACATAAAATGTGTATAATTTATAAGAGTTTTGATATTATCTTGACCCTAAAAAAGTTTTTCCGTATAAAAATATCATATTTTGCGTTAAATATTTATTTATAAACATTTTGTTAACCCGCAGGCTATATAAATGAATGCGGTGACTTAAACCTGGCCCGTTTCGAAGTGTTTATGCAGGAATTAGCTAAAATAGATAAAGAGAAATTCCACGACACTTACGCAGATCTCAAATATTTTGAGGGGAAAACTGGAAGACGGCCTAATTTTAATGAAAGGAAAGAGGTAATATATATAACAAATAATAATAAAAAATCCAATTGCAAAAGTATAAAACAAACAATTTTTTGTATTGATTTGTTTTTTTGAGGAGTTAATATGATCAGTCTAATGATCGATCAGCAAAGCCAAGCTCCTGAGCAATCAGCAAATCCAATCTCCTGAGCGATTAGCAAATCCAGGCTCCTGAGCAATTAGCAAATCTAATCTCCTGAGCGATTAGCAAATCCAAGCTCCTGAGCGATCAACAAATCCAATCTCCTCAACGATCAGCAAATCCTAGCTCCTGAGCGAACAGCAAAACGAACACCGAAATGTGTCAAGCTGGTCTAATGGTGGCAATGTAAGACTGTAATTAACAGGTTTTGGGTTCGAATCCCACCAGCGTGTTCTCAGAAATCAACACATCTATATTTTTTTTATATTTGACTTTGCTTTAGAAATCTGGATATTAAAATGGTTTTGGAATAGCGAAAATTCGTCCGAATTACGAACCATATTGGAAAACCTTAAATTTTTACCTGTTTCGTTCTAGTCTGGATTTCCGAATGTTCGAACCTTCAATAGGTCAACGGCGCATCTTAGATGCTTTTTGTTTATTTCATCTTCCATCAAAAGAACCCCGATACTTGTCAGTCCTAATCTGTCTTAAAAAAACACTAAAATAACATTTCGTTTTAAATTTCAGTACAAACCGAACAACGACGACACATTTAATGTCAACATAGACGACATTAAGGCTAACAAACCGGATGATGAATTGCAAGCGCTTATCAACGCGACTCAAGAAATGGTAATAACTATTTAAATAAAACAATTACCTGTTTAAAACGCGAAATATATTAGGTTATTTTAATCAGTTTCGACGTAGTTGCTACTTGGAGAACACCAAACCCAATTACGACCAAACAGATGGCGCTAACGTAGCAGATTTGACTTTGACATTAAGACACACCCCATCTTCAGTCTCGCATGACCACTGCTGCTGCAAAGTTCGCACGTCGTGCCGTAGTTATAAATAATATATTTCGCGTTTTAAACCTTTTAAAGTGTTTTATTTAAATCTATACTATTCGCGTAAATTTTAGATAAAGAACAAGTACTTATATAAGATGCACTAGACATAGTTTCTTTTAGAACTACGATACACTATATATTATTTTCATTACGGATTCTAATCCCGCTTATCATATTTTTTCAGTTTCCGTCCTCCAACAGTATGAAATGTTACTATTATTAGGAGTACGCTATCTGGTTTTCAGTTTAGACCGCCTTTGTAGTCAAATGGTTAAACGTATTGCGCTAAGCGCGAGAGGTCTTGGGTTCGAATCCCAGGGAAACAAATGTTTCGTTTGGGTAGGGTACAGAAGTCTGATCAACTACTTGCTCATTAAAAGTACTGATCAGTGAAACGGACACAGAAATGTGTTCGTCCCCACGAGGGGGAAACGGGCTTTCACTCTTATTTTTCAACTATCTGTTATTTAAGAACCTTGAGAATTTCATAAGGTTTTCGCAGACATTTTTCAAAGCTTTGTTGATATTAATTCACTAACTTTCAGTTCTTAGATGATATGGCTTTAGACGACGATTACGAAGAGACGAGTGATGGTAAGTTATACTTTTTATTATTCATTCGACATTTTATTTCTGTTATAATAATGGCAACACAATTTCAGAGGACGCGACCATGGAGATGGAATTCATATTGCACAAAAAGGACTATTATATGAATAAATTGGATTATTCCAAAGTCACTGAGTAAGTTATTTAATTACTAATAATTTATCTATACATTACTAACTACTAAACACCTTTCTGCCGTGTTTTATCGAAAGTAGAACCAAGTTAAAATTAAACGCTAAATTAATTGGACTGTTTATGGATTGCTTAAAAAGATAGTCATATTTAAACAAAATACTTTAACAGTTAAAAACGCGATATATATAAGTTAAACAGGGAGACACCCCGTGGCCACGGCTGCTGCAAAGCATCTAAAACGTCGGGCCGTACTTAAAATATTTTTCAAGTTAGTTTAACTAATATATATCGCGTTGCTAACTCCTAAAGTGTATTAGCATAGCAGTCTATGTATCTGGAGACTAAGAAACGCGTTAGTGGTAGTAATTTCGACAAATCATAAATTACTTTTAAAAAAAAAACTAAAACAAACAACTTACTACAACAAACGCAATTTGAACGCCGTTTTTGCTCGGTACAAATAATGCTCACTTGAAATATTCACAATATACTTTACACATACGTAAAATTACATTATTACTAAAATAATAAAATAAAATACAAGAAACAACAAATCAATGTTGTTTATTTGCACGAGGCCGATCGCGCTTGACTGTTTTTTTTTTTCTTTTATTTATTTATTTTATTATTTTTTACTACGTCACAGCTATTCACGACCCATATTATAAATAAACGATCATAATAAACTGTTTGTTGGTGGGTTGATGGTACTACCCTCCTCGTTATAGGAAAACCTACCACCAATTTACCAATATCACATCATATCGTTTCAGTGAGGTACTAGCAGACCAGGCGGAAGGATACGTCCGTGCGATACAATGGAATCTCTCCTATTACTACAAGGGTTGCGCCTCGTGGTGCTGGTACTATCCCCACCATTATGCACCATATATCTCAGACGTTAAGGGGTTCAAGGACTTAAAGATTGAATTCGAACTCGGCGAGCCGTTCAAACCATTTGAACAAGTAAGAAAAAAAAATATGTTTTTTACATGTGTTTATTGGACAGGACTTGAACCGGCATCCACAGCGTCCCGGGATGTTTCTCTAACCAATTGAGCTACTGTGTTTATTGCGTTACATTGTGCGAAATGTCCATTTATCGATAGGTTGAAATTCGGCGATGACGTGTAGGACACGGTAGCTCAATTGGTTAGAGCAACAGCACGGAACGCTGTGGATGCCGGTTCAAGATCTGTCCGTGTCGTAAATTTAAAAATCAATTTTTTATTTAAGTAAGCAAAATTCTCGTTTCGATTTTTTCTTTCATATTTAAATAAGTACCATCATAGTTTTTGAAAAAAAAATCCCATTTAAAAGTATAAAAATTAATGTAAATACTAAATAATCATAAGATAATTAGAGCTTCATATTTTGATCCGAATGATCTTTCAGTCTAATTTGATTTCGAAATGTGTATGTTTGTATGCTATAAACCGATCCTGTATATTTTCAGTTATTAGCAGTGTTGCCAGCAGCGAGTAAGCATCTCTTACCAACTCCATTCCACGACCTGATGACAGATGAAGACTCACCAATCGTCCATTACTATCCACAAAGCTTCGAGACAGATCTGAACGGCAAGAAGAACGAATGGGAAGCGGTTGTGCTGATACCATTTATCGATGAGGTGAAAATAGCATTCTGTTATAAGAACATACTCTAACAAATATGTTGCCTAATAAACTACAAAGACAGACTAAATACAACTGTCCTCCTCTATATAAAAAAAAAACCTTTTAACGGTTTAGAACGCAAAATATTAGGTAAATTTATTTATAAAATATTTTAACTACTAATTTAAAAATGGAAAATAAATTGAAAAATTTTTCGTCTAAATTGAGCTACCGAGTCATTTTAACTACTACCAAACTACTATTATCTACTTGCGGGTGCTTTGCAACAGTCGTCTCTTCGCGTTTTAAACCGTTAAACTGTGTTTTTTTTTATGTAGAGAAGGACAGATAAGCATGGGTTTCACACCGCAGCGATATAACATCTAAGATGGGCTGTCCACCTTCTTCTCTTTGGACATTCAGAAGTCCACAGACTGACACCGACATGGGATGAAACTTCACACTTCTGATGTATACCCGGACGGAATTTCGATATTTTTACCAGCCATTTAATTTCCAAATGAGGTCCAACATGTTTTAGAAATATTATAAAATAATTTGAAAAATATTGGACCCGGTGGGGATCGATCATACGATGAGTCCATTTTAATTGAATGCCTACGATAAACTATTATTAGACAGTAAACTCAAACTAAATTATTGAATGCTTTGTTCGCAGACGAATCTTCTATCAGCGATGGCTCCGTGCTATCAAAGATTGACAGAAGAAGAACTAAAGCGGAATACACATGGACCGATGCTTGTATATAACTGGAGTCCTAATCCTTTAGGTATTTTGCACTACAAATTTAAGAACCTTTTTTTAACTTAAATAAAATACTTTAACGGTTTAAAACGCGATATATTAGTTAAACTTATTTGAAAATTATTTTTAAATAAGTTTAACCAATATATCGCGTTTTAAACCGTTAAAGTGTTTTATTTTAATGTGTACTACTCGCGTAAACTATTGACAATGTTTGAAGCCCAACATGTTTTTGAAAAATTTGACCCGGTGGAGTTCGACCCCACGATTCGTTGATATTGAGCTATACATTGCTACTATTAAACCAACGAACCCGTAAAATTTTAATGTCGAGGTTTTATTCAACTCGTCTCTAGGTCCAACATCAGCACCAGATTATTTCCCGTTAATCCAGTCGTGCCACGCGACAGAGCAAACAATATGGCGGGCGGAACTGGAAGTCAGCGCCGAACAATTAAAACGCGGGATGCTGCCGAATGCTCAAAGTGATCTGTTGTTCCCCGGTTTCCCCACGATGCGACATTTAAAATATGAAGTGAGTCAATGTTATGCAGTATTGTTTATTTACCAAAAAGGGCTGGCAGGAGATTGGCTACTTGGCTATTAAGGACTGTCTGGAGTTTACGCGAATAGTAAACATTTAATTAAAAAAGGAAACTTTATTATTTTTCATTGTAACTTTATTTGTTTTTATGCATTTTATATCTAAATTAAGTCAGTGTTAGTATATTGATAATATATTTATTTATTTAACTGCTCGACGTTTCGGATGCTTTGCAGTAGCCGTGGTCAAGCAGAGACTGAATTGTAAATAACTTAACTAATACATTTCACTATACATAATATTTTTTAGTTGTAAAAAATATTGCGGTTATTAGCGATTATCATCCGATCCATTCCTTGCTTACAAATCTATTTCTCCAAGTCTATTTATTAAAAATACTACATTTTTTAATTGGTATTCACAGACGGAAGTGAAGAAGTCCAAAGTGAAAGTGTTCGACCAGCCGTCGCGAAACGAGAATATGATTGTGAAATTATTGCCGGACGAAGATACGAATCCACCTCTCCAGAGATTGGCGGAGAAGCTGCTCGGGAAAGTCATTTGGGTCGGCTGGCCACATCTTACACGGGCGAAGTATGATTTATTCCTTTATAAAAATACCTGTCCACCACAGGCCTTTTTTTTACCAAATACCATCTTCATCAGGATCGACATCGCATCCAATGGCTGCCAGTCCCTGCTGTCCTTAAACAAAATTACATAAAAAATACAAAAATGTACTAAATAGTAATGGTATATCCTGACTCTTGACACTCCGATCATCTCCCACTCTCTCCAAATGTTGAGCTCAGTGAAGTTTCGGAATTATGAACTCTCCCCCCTCCATTGTTTGGTTTCTTGATCTCGTTTTTCTAACTTTCCAGCTTCCTCTATTTGCGTACCTAGTGTTTTCCAATCTTCCTTTTATGCACTAATAACTGTTTCTTCCTCTTCCATTTCTAATATGCTAAGCCTAAAAGGGACATACTCAATTTCAGAGTGGTGTCCGTATCGAACGAGACGTTGCGCTTGCACTACGTCGACCAGCAGAACAATAATGTGAACGGCGTCAAGACCTCCGCAGAACACAATACAGGCAACCTCCACAGACAGTGGATTTCCGAACGGTCTACGGTTATTGAGCAGTATGTTTTAATCAATCTATACTAATATATAAAGCCGAGTAGTTTGTTTGAACGCGATAATCTCAGGAACTACTGGTTGAAATAAATAAAAAACCAGGCTGCGGCCAATAAGAGCGAAGAAAGCGTGGAGAATGTGGAAAAAACTAAACAGTTTGTGAAAGTAGCCCTCAAAGATAAACTCTTTGAGGGCTTCCGTTGTGTGCGCTGCGAAAACGTTTCAAGGAACCAACAAACTATGGAAGATAAATTGGTCATCAGCCACCGTTCACAGATGAAAAAGCCGTTTGGATTTCAGTCGACGGTTTATATCTTGTCGATAGTCTTGTTGACCTGTTTTATGACTACCTGTATATATTTAGATAAAGTTCTGGCAAGTTGGTTGTAATTTCAAATTACCATTTTTCCAGCAATTTGAACCGCCTGGGCATCGAACTCGGCGACGTACATGTACTTATACATGCCACTAATTTAAAAGGTGAGATAGTTATCATTGTAATACTTCTGGCTATAATAGGTATATACATAAGACTCGCCTTAAATGATGATAAGCTATCGCTTGGTGGGTTAAATACGCAAGAAGAGGAATAATTAGATTAGCAAGATGTCTTATAACTTGTAATAATGTTTATCATAGTAAGGTTCTCATATGCGAGGGGCATGGAGCCGACAAATTTCTTTATTCGTTTTACTGCACGTTTTAATTTACAGGCGAGTTGTCAGACGTCCCCGCCAAAAGAAATTACAGTCTCTCCAAGATTCGAACCTGGGCAGCGCCTTTAACCATTAGGCTAGTCGCGCGTGTCAGTTTCAGTCTGGATTTCCGAATATCCAAAGCCAAAATAGTTGGAAAGCGCATCTCGTTGAGATTTAATATGGCTAGGATATTATCGCCTTCCATCGTCTGAGTCTTTCCCTATGTACTTTCTTATTCTACTTAGCTGCAATTTTTTTATGTTAAGGTTATTTTTTTTTCTTCTAATAAATTTATAACTAAATTTTCTTGTTAATAATATTTCTTTTAATAGGTTATAAGTACGCAATACAAAACAACGTGCACATGGTCATGGAGGAAGAGTGGTGTCAAACTCCATGCGGTTATGCCCTTCAAGCGGTGGTTGCAGATGCGAAAGCGGCCAATCTGAGGCCACCAGCCAAGTTCCTGACAATAACTGACGCGTATCCTACTGGAGATAGTGTCTTCCTGCTCACCCAGGGGCAGTATTACGGGTGTCTTGCTACAGTAAGTGTGTTCAAATTTAAGTTAAATTCTTGCTTTGAAACTGCATACACTAAATACTAGAAATAATCTATCTTTTGTGTGCAATGTCCAAACGGGTCGTGGCTTTAGTCCACACTGCGTACTTGCAGTATGTTGGACTTTGTCTGAAAGCGTGGATTAAATGGGTATTCGGAATAAAGAACAGATCCACGGAGTGCTTGAGTTTAGTCGCGTTTAGTTTCAAGTTTATTGACGTATTTTTTTTAAACTTCCCAGGTGGTAAGTTCTGAGGCGGCCCGCAGTGGACGGATAAAAGTGTGCGTGCGAGAAAGCACCGAGCCCGTTGCCAAAGCTCACGCGACCGCGTGCCCTTACCGCTCTGCCAACCACGCAGCGGCCGCTTGTGGTACATTACCTTTATGACAATATTATTAGAATATGTTTACAGAGATTTTATATGTTAACCAAGAGAGTTACTTACATGCTTTGCAGAATTCGAATCCTGGAAATCGTCGAATCTATTCGTTTCAAATGCAAATTTACTCACAATACATATTTAAATAGTAAAAAAGGTAAAGGCCTAGTTTCGCCTTCTGAGGCATGTGCCGAACACATCTTGTGTCCGTCCTGTCGAGTACTTGCCGAAAATAAAACTGATCAATTTAATTTACGGCAAGCACTTTGTGCCTTGCCTGACCGAAACATTGTATGGTTTACTTGTAATTACCCAGGACAATTCATTACTAGACAATGCTTTTGTGGTCAACATACTCATATATACAGTAAAATAGAGTTTTAATCTTAAACTACTATACAAGTATTCAACTTCAAGTACACCATTGCTTACATAAAATACAGTACGTATTAAGAGAAAAATATAGCATACAAATAAATATATTGGTATAAAATTCATACCCAAAAGTAATTAGTAAAACTTGGTCATGATGCCAGGCTAAAGGAAATGTAATTAATTTAGTATGTAATGTTAAATAATATTTGTGTCGACAGGTATTTCGCCGCAAATGCTGTCACGAATAACGGGGTCCGTTTTAGTGATCATGGGCGTGAGGAATGATCTACCGACGGAGAACCAACAAAAGATCAACATTGGCCTCAATCTGAAGTTTAACAAAAAGGTTTGCTAATCCAAATATATAGCTGGAGAAGTTCTTCCGATGCCCCGAAAGACACTAGAATTCTAATGTCTTTCAAAGTATCGTTCAAGGGGTAAAATAGGAACCTTATTAGTTATAGAAACATTTTAAATTATTATATAGATACAGCATCTTTTTGCTCAATGACACCGCTTAGTTTTATTTATAAATTAATTTCCATAAATTAAAATACATTTTTAAATTAAAAAAATTTTTACCTACTCAATTGTTAACAAGTTCATAAAAATAGTTTGTGCTTAGAGAAACATTCAAAGGTAAGCTTCTTATTCCCCTATGACGTCATCCCACTATTCCTCTAACATTATATCTGTTTAAATAAAACACTAACGGTTTAAAACGCGATATTTATTAGTGAAAATTATTTTTTATACCGCAGTCACTTTTTTTTTTGAATGATTATTTCGTATTGTGTTCCTATGGAGCCACGAATACTAACCGGGCGTTTTGGGCGAGCGCGTTAGCGCTCGCCGTGGTTGCGGCTAGACCAAGGGTGCCGAGAGGGGCATCGGCCTTGGCTTGGACCGCCGCAATGCGGGTGGGAGCTTGAAGAGCTGGACGGAAGCTCACCCGGGTGAGCGGTAACCGCAGTACGCGGAGGCTGTCTAATGTATATCACGTTTTAAACCGTTAAAGTGTTTTATTTAAATGTGTACGCGTTAACTACAGACAGTATTTATATATAATTGTCCAGAACCAAGAAGTATCCGGCTACACTCGTCGTTGTAAAGTGACAAACGCGTGGATGTACTCGGAGCGTTGCATCGACCTCGTGAAGAGCTACGCGAAGGCTTTTCCGGAACTCTTCGATCAGCTGGCGTATTCCATGAACAGGGACGTCTTCTTCGAGGCGGATTTGTGGCCTGAAAATATGGGGTCAGTATAGAAAGATATCCTAGCAAAATCCGTTGGCAGCACATCGTGTTTATGTATAACTGGATGTTGTATTACTGTGGTCACCTACCATCAAGCGATGGTAGCAAATTCTATGACCAAGCTTTGCTACTATTAATTGGTAAGGCCAATTTTAAACTTTACTATTAGTCAGACAGAGTTGAAACGCGAAATATGTATAATTTATTATCCACGCTAACATTTCAATAGGTAACTACAGTAGGACTCCAATTTCCGAATTATGGGGCGGCCCATTCGGATGATCAAATATTGGATAATCGGATTTTTTTTTAAATTGTTATTGGAGAGAATAAAAGCTACGTTTTGATATTGCACTATTTTTTTATTGAATTAAATGAAAAGAAACATGATATTGTCACATGTTTTAAATATAAATAAAATGTACTTATGTACAAGTTTAGAAATAAAAATCATTGTTTTTTAAACATCTCAGTAATGTAAGCTGTTTTGCGTCTTCCGTTTTCGGTGCGCCGTGACTGCAATGCGCGGAACTTGTCTTAACTTGCCGTTGTGCCTACACTGACTTCGCGGAGGGAACGACAATAGTGAGAGAACGCGCAAACACTGGCTTCGCGGGCGAGAATAATAGACTTAGACTTTTTTTGAACATATTTTTGTGATTCGAATCGGCGTTCGGATAGTCGGGTTTGGTTTGGAGTTCTACTGTATTAAAAAACACAATTTTATTATAATCGTAAGACATTTTAGTTAAGTCTCCTGAATCGGTACCAAATTTCATTAAGAATACTGTAAAGACTAAAATATTCTCTCTTAAGGGAGGGGAAACCGCAGTCGGTTCAAAAATGGTTGAAGGGCCTATCCCACGGCTTATCAGCGCGCAGGCAATGTGGTTCCGAAGCTCTAGAACCTGAGGAAATGAAAGCCGTGTGGAAGGACTTGGAAGACCAGCTGACAGAAATTAAAGATCAAGAGAAAAGTGTCACTTTGCATGTTAAGTGGAATCTGTTATATAAGGTCAGTTAATTCTTGTTTCTTTATTCATAAGTATTTACTATCAGGACGCCATGGTGAAATTCTATTTCCCTACTTGATGGAAAATATTTCTGTGTCCGTTTCAGTGATCGGTTGTGTTACACATTTCTATGCTCTACCCGACCGAAAAAATCTTTTGTTTCGCCCGAGATTCCAACAGAACCCCTGGCGCTTAACGCAATGCTAGACAACGCATTTAACCAATTGGCTTTACAAATCTTTGCTTTTATTCTAAAATATATTTTAGTCCTTCGAGCCGGAAACTCACGGAACCTTAAATTCACAGCCAGAACTGCACGAAGGCAACGTTGCGCCAGATGCAAAAGCAGACTACAAGATATACGACAGAATAGTTTGTGTTGCCAGGAATATCACTGTTCCGCTCGGCGCGAAAGGCACAATTACAGCTATCTACCAACCGACTGATGGCAACACTGTTAGATTGTCTGATAAAATGAACGCTCAGCCGACTTATCAGGTATATATCAAAGTCTTCTTAAGTAGAATTAAAAAATATATAAAAGGGGGGGGGTTTTTTTGGGCGGGGGGGGGGGGGGGGGGGGGGGGGGGGGGGGGGGGGGGGGGGGGGGGGGGGGGACAAAAGTATATCGCGTTTTCGTAGGTTTAGGCTACTCGCGTAACAGGGATCGTATCCTTTCCTTACCTGTGTGTATTTAAAAATGGTTTATGCAGGTAATGTTTGACCACCCATTCACCGGGGCAATGTCAGAAGAGCTGTTTGAAGAGGCGAGGTTTTACAGGTGAGTCAATATGAAGATGTATTAATTGTAATATCGACATTTTTATAAGATTGATAAAAAGGGCTCGTTGCTCTAATGCTGGACTTATAGCCGCCTTGTCGTGTTCCATCCCCACCTAACATGTTTTCTACTTATCGTACAATCTTAAACTTCGTTTAGAAATCTGGATATTAAATGGATGGTACAAATATGTAATTACGAACCACTATCAGTGCTGAAAAAGCCAAAAGTTAATCGGGTTTCGATGTTAGCCTTTGGATATCCGATATGTAGAGCCAAACTCTGCCGACGGGCATAGGGTTAAATGTTATATTGACGTTTGTATTTGCCTGATTAAGTGCTCTCTGTTCTAATCATGGAATTATATGTCAGCTTTGACAAGTTACGTTGAAAATTAAACAATTTGTTTTAGTTATTCAATGTGGAACATAATCTATGTGTGTATATTTTTTTAGGATGTTACCAGCGAACATGTTAAACATCTCCTACGGCCGTAAGACACGGAGCGTCGTCAAAAATGACAATAACGTGGACACTGGCGCGTGGGGCTTCACACAACCGCCGGCGTTGCTTCGCAGGGACAACACACATAACTCCGCGTTCGCTAGTTATAGGTAAATATTGGTTTATTTTTAGTAGATTAAGTAAACAAGGGGTAAAAACAATTCATAGATATATAGAATAGTTTTTATCTCGTTGAACTAGTGGTGAACACACTGGACTGTAAATCATAAGGTCACAAGTTTGATTCCTGCTATTCCCGAATGTTTAATGAAATCTTAACATACTTTTGAGGTTTTTATATAATCCTAAATAACTATTATACAATTACAGCCCGCCACGAGAATTGATGAAATTTGCGCCTGAAAGTCCTAAAGTGGAAAAAGAAAATGGTTCTGCAAAGGTAAATACTTACTTTTATATAATATTTTTTTACTTATTGATGTTATAATATTCTACTTTGGTAATGATTGCATTTTATAGGGTGACCCTACGTCTCTTCTGAGGAGTCTTCTGAAGATAAGCGAAAATGAAACGGATCAGAGTAAACAGAATAAGGTAAGTTACTGAGGCGTATGACGAGGGATGGGGGGAGTGTCATTTTTAACCTATTTTTTTTAAAGTACCATAAGAAAAAAAGCGATAATTTTTCTATTATACAGTACTTCAAAAGATTTGTAAAAGGCACCCTGATGTTGTAATCCAAGCGAGATCGTTAGGATTCTCAAAGCGCCAACCAAAGTTGTTCGAGAATTTTAAGTTAACGAAACATTAATTATTCAATTTTTTTAGACTCAACCCGAAGTAAATAAAAGTTGGCGGAACAAGGAGAAGCAACCGAACGTGCCAGTGCAGGCAAAGTAAGTTTGATTTAAGGGAATAAATTTGAATGTATTATTTATGTAATATTTATTACCAAACTTACCTGTCTCTAATAAAGTACAGTAGCAACTGTTGTCATAAACATATCCAGAAGGATTCTGTTTCTTGCCTTCGCATAAACAATAAACTATAATCTATGTTTTGATCTAGCCTTTGCAAGATGGTTAGCTGTGCTATTAGCTTAACAAACTATAATATTTATCAGTTAATATGTGAAACGCGTTATTTTATGCAGCTATATACCTCCGTTTTGGAATTTAATGCAAGGGTAAGCTCTGTCGAACTATTTTTTTTTTAATCTACAGACTGAAATCAAAGAGATATTACACGGCTTTTACACTAGTGGATGGTGATTCCTGGACAGAATTTGAATTTCGATATTTATATAATCTAACATGTTTCTGAATTATTATAAATTATTTCTTATAAATATCTTAAATCAAAGACCCATTAATTATTAGCTACCTCCAACGTATTATTTTAATGTAATTTCCAGGCCTCAGCAGAATTGGAGAAAGCCCGTTGACAATCAGTTTCGGCCGCCTGCGCCTAACGATTGGGTTAATACTAATTCTAACTATTATAAGGTGCTTTTATTTTATTTTTTGTGAGCCGTTATTATTTTGCACGTTGCTTTATATTTTTACGAACAATCCTCAATCTACGTTAAATGTTAAATTTATGCATTTATTGAGGGTGTACACAGTTGTCTTTCTGGTCTTTTGTGTATAAAACGTGAAAACTGAGTCACGTATGAACGTGACTGATTGATTGCTTACTCGTCATTGACTCGTACAAGTTCTTAAAGAGATGTTTTATTTACAGAATCAGCCACAACCACCGCCATTTGTCCCATTCGCTCCCCCCTTCCCTGGTCCTTCGCAGGCGCCCCCCAATGGACCACCGCAATTTAGAGTTGGAAACCAGTTTCCCAAACATTTGCCTAATGTCAGCGCATCGCTATTACCTAGTTGGACGCAACAGGTAGGAAAATTATTTTTTTATAAAAATCATCGTCATCTTCAATTTCAGTGATCTTTTCATATTAAGTTACTCTATCAAACTTCCGGATAATATTCTACTAAAGTGTGATAGCTTATCTTACAAACAACTTTTCAGGCTCCACCTCCAGCAATGTTTCCACCAAACAAACAACCGAACAACCAACAGATGAACCAGCCTAAGTTCAACAATAACGTGCCCAATCCCTTCGTACCGCTCCAAGTGCAGACCAGTCAGAGGTAATTGAAATTGGGTCCCACCCCAATCTCCCACCACAGCATTAAAGTCAGATAGTCAACAAAAACGCCGTTGAGCACATGATAACCACGAAGAAAAACATTATACCTCTCCTAGAAACGTAAACACTTCTTCTGTTTGAATACAATAAGCCATAATTTTACAAACCCTTTTACCCCCTTGGGGCTTGGGGCGAATACATTTCTGTGTCCGTTTCACTGATCGGTTTTATTTAGGGACAAGTAGTTGATCAGACTTTGTGCTCTGCCCGACCGAAACAATCTATTGTTTCGAACACTCTCGCGCTTAACGCAATTATGTGTATCACGTTTAACCATTTACTTACAGAGTTTACATTTTCATGAGGGTAGTTTTAATTCCAGACGTGTCAACCACGTGGGTCAACCGCCGAGGAATATGGAAGGAGCGCCTGCGCAGTCGTCAACGCTGCCCAAACCACAGCCCGTAGTGCCGAAGGTAATTGACGATTACGAACCGTACCATACTACCTAATATGTCATGTTAAGTGACTAATACAATAATTATAAAACCGATTTAAATAAAGTCTTTACCTTATAGTATTTTCAAAAACTTTTGGCACCTAACAGTTTTGTGAAACCTTCGCGCTAAAATGACTCGACCGATTTTGATGTTGTAATGGAAGATGAAAAAATAAAAAAATTTAATAATAAAAATAGTATTTGTCCAAATGTAATTATTGTTTTATATACTTGCGCAGGCACAACAGAACCAACAAAACAACCCGAACAAGCAAAAGAAGAGAAGACCCCGAATAGCAGCCAACCTTCCATTCCAACTTGACTAAACACAAAATGATAGGATTTTGCATAGTTGACATATTTTTCTACGTTTTTTCTCAATTGATGTTGTACAACACGAGGTTAAGTTTACACTGACGCTATTAAGTAATATTTAGTTTGATAAGTAAATGGTATATATGCTTTTTTTGCTTCTGAAGATGGAAAAACATTTTTTTTTTTGCAATGTTAATCGACAATTTTACTTTCAGATTACTTTATTTGACAAAACCATTTGAACATTATAAACAAACAGTAGTACAATAAATTTGTATATAACAAATAATGATTGTAGGTTCCTAGTGTGTTGTGATTGTAAGAAAATGTTACTTATTTTTTTACATCTGCTAATAAAGATGTTGCATTTTTTTTTGTGAAACAAGATGTAAGAGTTATTTTTATTTAATTACGCGCTTTTAATATGGACTCGCAAAGCAATATTTGACTTGAAATGCTCAATACAGTTAAGTACATATTTCCAAATATTAAAAAAAAAAATTCTTTCTTCCTGTTTCTACTTTGTGCTAACTACGAAAGCGAATTTGGGATTTCTTTTTAATATTACATTACAGACAGAAAAATAATTATCAAGAACAATGTTTATATTCCTTTACGCAATGTATGTATCTATTTAAATGTAACATTTAAATAAAACACGTTAACGGTTTAAAACGCGTACAAAACGTCGGCTCGTAGTTACTATAAATAAACCAATATATGTCGCGTTTTAAACCGTTAATTGTTTTATTTATGCGGACGCATCTATTACTAACTGTTATGGTCTGGAGAGCGTTTTGCAAGTGAAGTAATAGACGCTATTTTGTGATTGTGAAAAATAATAAATGTTAATACATTTCAAATATTTTAATTTCTCTTGTAAGATGTATACTTGAACCTAATAAAGATTCTTTTTTAACTCCTGTAACCAAAAGGAAACATGAGGTAAAGACTTCTTCTTTGTGGCTTTCTATCTGTCCATCGCCTAAAATAAGGAGGGATAGGATATTATTATTTAACTTTGATTAATATCAAAAACGGTAATAACTGATTTGGTGGACAACAAATTTTCAAAATTAAAAAAAAAACTATCCAACATGCAATTTGTATACGTTGTTTACTATGTGCCTACGCGAGTACAACTCACACTTAGCCGTTTTTTATTGTATCATTTAACTATATTAACAGTTATAAAAATAGCTAATATTAAAAATTAACTATCCATCCTTATTTAATTCTTAAATATAATATGACATAGAAACAAACGTCGTAAAACTCTAGTAGAGTTAGCATCGACTAATATAGCGGAGTTTGTTCGTTTGAACGCGCTAATCTCAGAAACTACTGGTATGAATTGAAACAATATTTTTGTGTTGGTTAGAGCATTTATCGAAGAAGGCTATAGGCGGTATACACGCAAAGGAGCGAAGAAACAACGGGAAAGGTGGAAAAAATGGTGAGTTTCCGATGCGTACGCTGCGAAAACGATTCAAAGTACCTAAAATAACTATTCTACGCGGACGAAGTCGCTGACACAGCTAGTAAACAATAAAACCAAGATATAATTAGTACATTTCCAAGAAATTTCTCATTGACATTTGTCACATAAAATAGGAAAGTTTATCGCTGTGAGGTCATAAGTAACAATTGGTGATCGATCTTATTCCATCAGTAGATCTCGAGTCATGAGGCTGTTGCTGATCTTCGTAGTGTCTGTTTCTGCAGATTTGAACTGGTGGAAGACTGCGTTAGTCTACCAAGTATACCCGAGGTCTTTCAAAGACAGCGATGGTGATGGAATTGGGGACCTTAAAGGTGCGTTGAACACACTTCAATGCAATTGAACAAATAATGCTTCGCTATTCACTCAAATACGAAAATTATTTAACAACATTTAAATATTAATTAAAGGACCTTTGTAGAATAGAAAAATATAGACTCGTTTCCCGATTACGATATAGTACGCAGACCAGAAAAATAGTACCATGTTGAAAATTATAGTACGGTTTGCAACCCTAGGAGGAACCCTTTGAAAGTACATGCTTTACCAGGTTAGGGACCAGCTGTAGTGTCACATAGATGGAGATAGATAGCATTGAACCAGCACATTATTATAGTATTTCTTTATATAATTAGAACTTTTTTATCCTTTCCGGTACAGCTTTTTAATGAATGACTGATCTTTCCACCAGGTGTCACTGAAAAACTACCCTATCTGAAGGACACGGGTATAGATGCAATATGGCTGTCACCAATATTTCTATCCCCAATGCGAGATGTTGGCTACGACATATCGGATTACCGGAAAATCGCACCAGAATTCGGTACTATGCTAGATTTTGAGATGTTAGTCAGAACTGCTAAGGAACTAGGTGAGGATCTTTGGGTATACCGTCATTTGTTCTGAAAATTATTCTATAATGAGGCTAAGCTACCTGCGCCGGTGCAGAAGGTGAGGGTCCCGGGTCCAAATCCTCGGTCGGGGAAATGCACTACGCTGTTTAAATGCTCAAATATCAACGTGGACTTTAGAGTAATGATGTTAAGACTTTAACATTGCTTCTTGATAAAAAAAGAAGTTGCCTTTATGTTGATTTCGCTATAAAAATACGTATTTTTGCAAACTTGTTCTTAGGTCTCCGTATTATTCTGGACTTCGTCCCGAACCACACGTCAAACGAGAGCGAGTGGTTCGTTCGTTCCCAAAAATCAGATCCTCACTACAAGGACTACTATATTTGGGCTGACGGAATTACCAAGGAAGCTGATCAGGAAATGTTACCTCCCAGTAACTGGGTAAAGTACCTACCGTAATCCTATTTTCTAGAGGACACGGCACCTAAACTGGTTAGAGCAGCACGGAACGCCGTGGATGTCGGTTCAAGTCCCGTCTGTGTCGTATTTTTTTTTCTATCTAAACATATTTTCAATAAATAGCTTGACCACGCCAGGTGCGCAATGTCGTGTTACAGTTAAAATATATCTTCCGTGTTCCCAACCGTTAAACGCGTTCTAATTAAATTATTAGCTATTTTGCATCGAAAAAAAAAAAACAGACTGGACTCAAACCTACCACCATTACTTAACGTACATAACGTTCTTTGCTCGGGAGTGCTCATAAATGTCCCTCTGTGGGCATAGGAGTGACAGGGTTTGTCTCTTTTTAGCGTTCCTTTAAACTCGATACTTACGATATTTTCTTGATAGGTAAGTCACTTTCGCAAGAGCGCTTGGAAGTACAGCGAAGAACGTGGTCAATATTACTTGCACCAATTTGTTATTGGTCAACCAGATTTGAACTATCGCAACGAGAAGGTTCAGGAAGAAATGAAGGTATGTTAAATGTAATTAACAGTTCAACGGTTTAAAAACATGAAATATTGATTTTTAATTATATTTGAAAGACGTCCGGCATTGGGTTTTATATTAAAAATATATATTTCTTGTTTCACCGTCAAAAATATTTTATTGTATGTATATAAACTACTCGCGTAAACTACTTCCAGATTAAAAAGTTATTTTTGAAAAAATATATATTGAAGACAAGGCATATCCCTAGCTTACGACCCGTTCTGCGCTTACGAGTTATTTTACTGTATGCCACACGTCATCTACAAAATTCCTCAATCCATGTACATATGCAAATCAAAACTTACCTTTAGCAGGGCATTATATTGTTCTTATGTAAGGTATTTCGTAATTTTAGGAAGTCCTTAGATTCTGGCTAGATCGAGGAGTTTCTGGATTTCGCGTGGATGCAGTCAATGTGCTTTACGAAGCGGATCCGAAGAACTACGGCGGTCGTTACCCTGACGAATCTAGATCTGGTGATATTATGAATAAATTATATTCAAAACTTTCAAAAACTTTGATAAAAATATATTTAACAATGCAATTTTTATACTTACTGTACCCGAAATAAAAATTGATATTATCAAACATATTTTTTATGATATAGGAGGACAGACAAGCAAATGCACTTGTCGTTAGGTATAATTACCAAGCCAATCGAAACAAGATGTCCTATCGGCCTATTTTCGCTTTGGATATTCGGAATTGGCATCACTGAACTTCGATGCTTCAGAAAAATGATAAATTGATTTGAAAAATGTTTAACCCGTTATCGAAATCACGACTCATCGATATTAGTCAAAATCTAAAAAAAAACACTTTGGTTTGAACATTATCACTTGAATATGGTCTTATAGACTGGATAATGATAATGATTCAAAGTTTTGCTTGTCGATTTAGATGATCCCAGCGCAGTGCCCGATGATTACGAATATTTGAAACACATCTACACAAGAGATCTGGACGAAGTATACACGACAATCTACGATTGGCGCCAAGTTCTTGACGAATATACGAGTAAAGGAGAGTATAAATTCATGGTAACTGAAGCGTACGCGGATGTAGAACACTTGATGAGGTACTATGGGGCTGAAGGGAGAAATGGTTCTGTGCCTTTCAACTTTGGTTTAGTGGATAAAGTCAATAAGGACACAAATGTTGTTGAGATTAAAGCAATCATCGATGAGTGGATGACGAAGATGCCTGCAGGAAAGGTTGCTAGTTGGGTGGTAAGTATTGCTAAGTATAAACTACAAATACCAACGGTGAACTTATTCTCCCTTTTAGAACAGCTGCAAAATTTTTATCTAACAAAAACAAATCGATTATAATTAAATAACAATAACGTTTTTGCTAAACAAAATATATTTTTAGAATGGAAACCACGATCAACCCCGACTTGCATCTCGAGTCGGTACAAATAGAGTCGACGCTATGAACATGTTGGCTCTTATCCTTCCTGGCATTGCATTCACTTATCAGGTACCACCAATAAATACATGAAAACGTAAAATAAATAACACATCCCATTTATGATAAAGTTAATACACAATTATAACACAGAATTTATTATAGTCGAATCTGGCTTGAAGGACCAAAGTTATATAAAATATATCTCTTATCTAAAGAAGAAAAAATAAAGTATAAAACTATAAGCTCTAAATGTACTAACTTAGATAGCGGATATCGTTAATGTATTGCATTTCTACTTTACTATATAAACAGGGAGAAGAACTTGGTATGACTGATGGCTTTATATCCTGGGAGGACACACAGGATCCGCGCGCCTGTAACACAGATGACCCCGTAAATTATTGGAAGCATTCCCGAGATCCATGCCGGACACCCTTCCCTTGGGATGGGAGCTTAAACGCAGGGTTTTCTACAAGTGATAGAACCTGGTTACCAGTTGCCGATAACTACAAGGAAGTAAACTTAGAAACGGAGATAACGGCTTTGAAAAGTCATTATAAAGTAAGCTAGTACTGTTTTTTGAATATATGGGAAAAGTTGTTTTTTACAGAATAAACATTTAAAATGTTATAGGTTATATGCTGCAAGTTTTTTTTTATAGCGAAAATTTTAATTAATATACATTGTGTCTTAATAATTTATGTAGTGGAAGGATGAAGCCTTAAATAGATTTTTTTCAGTTCTACAGAGATGTGGCAGCAATAAGAAAGTGTGATGCTATCCAGAAAGGACGCTTGGATGTTAAAGCTTTAACTGAATCAATATTAGTTATAGTCAGGTAAATGAGGAAGTGATTTAGTTAGATACATCTGTTGTAATTAAAATTTGCAGAAGACTTTTCTAAAGTCCTGAAATCATAGATATTTCTGCTTTAAGAGCTGGACTTGATCAAATTGGGTCTGTAATGAGAGTCTGACAACAAAATATATAAAAAGTGCCTTGAAACACTACATTAGTCATTTTATTCTAAACTTGAACAGATGGATACCAAATGCAGAAGCTGTTGTGGCCATCATGAATCTTTCAGAAAACACAGGGACTGTTGATTTATCAAATATGGAAATGCTGACAGTAAAATTAAAAGTGGTAGCAAGTGGGGTGGATTGCAATGGATTTGAAAACAAGTAAACTGTATTATATCATTTTGTTATACATATGTTTGACTAATAATTAATAGGTTAATTAAATATTTGTATAAAAAATCTGATATTGCGCTAAAGAAATAATCGCCTAAAGTAACTAATCTGTTGTTTTTTTTAAATTGCAGCATGATGTTACAAAAATATAACATAGATGTTCCTGGAAGTTGCTCCTTACTACTACAAAGCAATGCAACCTAATACAGAATTCAATATAATTATGTATGTCTCCAATGTACTTCAGATATTTGAACATAAACAAATCCTTAAACTCTACACTTTTTATTTATAAACTAACCTATTCCTACAGTTAAAAGTCCATAGCACCTTCTAAAAAACACAAACAGTCCACTTTATTGATAATAACATCCAAATCTTTCTTAGCTATTGTCTTCCGTTTGTGTTGTAATGTATAGTTATAGGTTTCCTTTGCAATTGTTTCTAGAAACATTTCCTGAAAACAAATATTCTACTTAGCCTCACATTGAGCTATAAGCACATATAAAGACCAAATAAACAGTTCAAAGTATTTTGAACACTTATAATAAAAATAATATAAAATTGCTAGACATTTATTTAGTCCTTGTAATATGAGTAAACAATATTTATATATATAGATGGTGAATATTAAAAAGATAATAAGATTCATAGTACTAACTAATTATTATAATTTACTATAATTAACAAGGTATACTTGGAACACATAAACTAACTTTTCTGACTAAAAATAGGATGCTGCAGTGACTAAACTTTGCCCTTATATTTTGCATACTAATGGTTGAACATAGTTAATAAAACTTACCGTCGCCTTCGTAACAAGAAATACAGCTTCGGAATTCACAACATGTACATCGGGATCCATTTTCATTATATTCTTTATTCTAGCCATTGGTAACTTTGTGATGCGAACAACGTCTGTCTTTACATTTGTGACTTTTTTCTCTCCTGAATCAGGATCTTCACTAATCAGGACTTCAGAGTTCTGTATAGAATTTGGTTCGTCTTCGTTAACTTCAAATTGTTTTTCATTTTTAAAGAGGTTTTCAGAATCCTCTAATTCATCAGATATATCAACTTCTGCATAGTGGTCTTCTTCACTCATTATTGTACGATTATTAATCCGTTTTTAAAACACTTATAAGATATAAAAATATAATATACGGTAAATATTGTAACTACACTGTCTTTTTCAAAAACTTTTAACTAATAGATTTGTTTACTTTACTTGCGCGCCACAATTTGTGACAGCTGGCAGTAACTATTTTTAATGTCAATGTCAGTTATCAAATGTTGTCTGTGGAAAAACCGGACACTAGTCTTTTTGACCTTATCTTCAATACAATGATACGTATATAAACTTAATTATTATTTCCACTTTTCTCATGATAACATTATCTAAATAAAGTTATATTATTTAAAATTATCTTGACTCCTGTGGTAATTATTTTCCAGTTTAAATAGTTTTTTTTTAATTTTTACAAGGACACATCATTTTACCTACTGCTACTGGATCCAGTGTGTTTGGGAAGCAAGGATGGGAAGGATCCAGCTAATTTATAACGCTGTTACTTATGGAGCAAAAAATATGTTGACATTTTTAGCGGCCTTTGAAATAAAACATAACTCATCAGTCGTAATAAAATATAATTATCAGTTCATATTGAGTATCAAAACAAGATTTACAAAGACATTCAATTATATACATTTCAAATTGTTACAATCCCATTAACGCATATACAATTCTGATTATATTGCTGTTTTACTGTTTTAAACTTAAAAAGTATTAATTTTAATTTTTCATTGAGATCTTTTGGAGCCTCTAATAATATTAAATTGGGTATACAATACGATATTAAAATCGTAATTCTCGTTTCTTTTCTTTTATTCAATCGTACTCATGATTCCCTTGACATTAAAGACAGGCACACAAAAATATCTAATACTTTCAAATAACTAATGTATGTATATACAATCTGACGTCACATATGTGTTGAGAATTCCTATCATTCGCTAACAATATTTCAAAATATACAATATAGCAGTCACACTTAACAAACAGTGTAAAATATCGTGTTATTATAAAAGGCACTTAGGTAAACTACTTATAGTAAATATCCTAGGCTTTGGGAAATCCGTAAAAGCAGTCCATGTAATAATATTTGTCATACCACTTATTTACAAAATATCACAACTTGCAAAAGTCTTGTTAACTAGAGAAAATTAGGTATATTTAATACTATTTAGAAATAGAAATACGTTAACATTTTACTAGTCGCTACCCAGTGAATCTACATGTAAAATTGTATATTAAGAGATAAAACTTGTGACAAAATGCATACAAGACTTTACGAATTTCACAATAAGCTTAATTTAAGCACAATAGCTTTCGCCAAAGTGGTCTTTTTGACTTTATAACTGGCAACCCGGCCAAGATGGCGGCGTCGAAGGCGTCTTTCAACTGCTTTCTGGTTTTTGCCGATGTTTCTACGTACACTGCGTTTATTTTGGCCGCTAGCGCTTTTGCTTCAGCTTCAGTTACAGCGTGTTCACCTCGAGCCTGGAATCAGTATTTCAGTTTAGCACCAGATTTTGATAAAATATATATCCACAGACTATATCGATAGTGTTGCTACCCTTGCCTAGTATTCTAATTTCCAAATTTAACTTCAGCTACGCTTAAAGAAAGAATCTATACTAATATATAAAGCTAAAAAGTTTTTTGTTTGTTTGTTTTACCGCGCTAATCTCAGGAACTACTGGTTTCATTTTGTGTTGGTTAAAGCATTTATTGAGAAAGGCTCTAAAACATCATGCTGCGATTAATAGGAGCGGGAACTGTGGAAATTGATTTATCCTTGTTGCGTTACGTTGCGTACGCTGCGAAAACGGTTCAAAATACCAAATATATATAAAATAATGATTCCTCTTTAATTGATTGAAAATAATGTTAGCGACACTATAGTTAAATTAAAACCCCGACTTCGTGGGCAACAGCTTAAATCTGTAAAGATGGTGGAGGTTTTGAAATACAAATTTTGATGCCCAAAATTTTCTATTCTATGCGAGCCAAGTCGCTGACACTGCTAGCTTCCACATACAAGTTAGTACTTACTCTCAAAGTTTGAATCATACGCCCGTCAAGGGCCAAATCACACTGAGTGCCGACTAGAATTAAGGGCGCCTTTACATTTGCAACCGCTTTCGTCCACCTGTTCGCCACAGATCTAAACGTCTCCGGCCGGACCACAGAGAAGCAGAGCATTAGAACATCCGTCCCCGGGTAGCAGAGTTCTCGCAGTTCAGACATTGAATCCTGTAATTAAGCATTATAATATTACTTCCAAAGGTATGCTTCAATCACCAGACGAGTATTCAGACTCAAAAAATATAATGAACGTAATAACTAGTATTAAGATTAGTATAATTTTATATCTTTCTGGTTTATAAATAAGCCTATATTTCACATACACTTTTCTTTTACTATTTTCTATTATTTTACGGTATTATTTTAGACTTTATGACCAAAGTCCATTTTGAAATCAAAATTTCCCACTTTTTGAATTAGCACCCATTTAAGGATTATTCGTCTTTGGCTTCAAGCAAAAATTGGACACTAGTGACTTAAATCATAATAGAATTCTCACGAACTCTTGCGCACACATTTAAATGATATTGCATAAGTTGTGAAAAAGTTAATTCATCCAAGCTAAAAACCGAGAGAAAGCCATTCACACAATGCCAGCAAATAGCGTCGCCTTTTTCGATCGAGATAAATAAATCGATCAAAACGATTTCACAATTAACTGGCATCTGTGAAATGAAAGACTTTTGAGGTGTTGCTAAATTGTCAATGGAAATATTAATAGGTCTAGCGATTGTGTGCAATGAATTTATTTGATGAAAGTCCCTTTCCCACATTTGAGGTTTGAGGGCAAATACATTTGGAACAAACTATTATATTAAACATGTTTGACTATTAAAGAGGCTTAAGAAACTTGTATTAATTTAAATAAAACACTTTTAAAAGGCTAAACCGCGAAGTATATTAGTTAAATTATTTTTATCTCTGACCAACATTTCGACCTCCAGCCGCCATTGTCACTGGAGCACTGAAAATGAAGGATGTCAAAGTCGAATCTGCTACGCTAGCGACATCTGTTTTGTCGTATTTGCAGAAACTGGCTGGGTCTTACAAAACTGATTGTCAAGGACTGACTAGTGTATTTACTAACCCTAACTCTTTGCATTAAACCTATCCATGTTAGTTAAGCCAGACCTAAACGCCTTATTTTAACTTAAATAAGTACAATAATTACGTCATTAAGTCAAAGACCCTTAATATCAATTATTTTAATAGGACTATTACGACCATAATTCAGTTGTTTGGCACTTAAAATTTAAGGAAGTGGTAATTTTAAGCTAGGGGTTAAAACAATTTTATGAATTCAGGTTAGGGCCTGACCGCCTATGTAGCCAAATGGTTAAACGTATTGCCTAGCATTGCGTTAAGCGCGAGAGGTCCTGGGTTCGGAAAAGGTAAGAAAGGGAATTCTAGTTTAGAATAAATACTGTCTATAGTTTATGCGACTAGTACACATTTAAATAAAAAGTCTCCCCGTGACCACGGCTGCTGCAAAGCATCCGAAACGTCGGGCCGAAGTTAAAAATCATTTTCAAATAAGTTTAACTAATATATATCGCGTTTGAAACCGTTAAAGTGTTTTATTTGAATGCAACATTTTTCTGAATTCCCATAAGATGCGAGTTCAAACGCTTAACAAACTGAGTCTAATGTTATTAGCGATTCACAGGTAACGAAACTGTGGGAATCGAGACATGTGCACTATACATCACAAACGCACAATGTCTGATCAGACGCGCCCGTTCACAATAGATGCACGTGCTTCCCAACAATGCGTTTCACATCTGCTCTGCCAGGTGATTATTTGGGAGTTATCAGGTTCAGACTCGTCTAGCAATGTTTGTGCAAGATTGTTTGATTCTTTGCTAAGTATTTAGCAGGTATTTCCTTCAAAATAAATTCGGCGTTAAGAGAGAAAAGATTTATGGTTCTTTGAGCCGGTACTACTCTTAATTTGTAAGATTTTAAGATTTCATATCCCTATATCTAATACCTCGCTGTCTAGTCCAGCCGAATTAGTTCTTAAATAGAGATGAAGTTGTGCAATTATTTTTATTGATTTTTAAAGTTTGCAAAAATATTTTTTGTTTTGCATTTTTCAGCTAAACCGTGGATTTTACACCAGACGACTAAAATTGTAGATCATCCGATTCTCTACAAAAAAATGTATCTAACGTATTCGGAACATTCATACAAATTTTAAACTCTATATGTAAAGTATCTCAAGAAGCGTGAATTAAAATTATGTATTACAAATTGTGAATTTCTGCTCTTCTTGCTCTGCGCAAAAAAGTATTTTTCCCCCTATTTTCATTTCATTTAAAATAACAAAACTAACGTTATAAAGTGTCTTGACCTAGGCATAGTACGAAGCCCTTCGGAAAAGAGTCGGACTTACATTTAATAGTTTTTCTTTTAGTTTGGACTTAATATCCGTTATATGCAACTTAAATTGAATAATGTAACTTTAAAATTCCATGTGTTAACAAGTCGTAATATTAAAAACATATAATATAACCTTAACGTAGGTAATACTGACCTGACCAGCTGTATCACAGATTTCCACACAGACAGGCCTGTCGTCTACATCCACCACAACTGCAAAAGAAACAAAATAACATTAGACAACCGAACCTTCACAATAAATTATATTGTCTTAGTAAAATACATTAGCACGCTCTCGTGATTCTTTGAAAGAAAAATAACGCTGATCCATTTTATTCCTTCGACTTCGAAGAGTACCAGGCCAGTAGTACTGATATTTGTACTTTCAATTAAATATCTTCCAGGTCTAATAAAGTTAAAATTATTACTTTTTTAGACTTTCCAGGTCTAATAAAGTTAAAATTATTACTTTTTTATATTTTGGCTTTGGTTATTTGGAAATCTACAGACTGAAAGGGAAACGCGAATTACCTTTACGGCTTTTTCATCTGTGGATAGAAGTTCGAAATTCTTACCATCAATTAAATATCCAAATATCCAGAATTCCAAAAAGTTTCACGAAAAATTAAATAGATAAGAAACACGTTGAACCATGTGGGAGTCGAACTCACGACCTGTTGATTATTAGCCATTTATTGCTATTACACCAACGAGACCCTTATTTACCCGTCAAAAGTAACTAAGTAATGGCTAACAACGTATAATATAGAGCCATACATACTGGCTTAACTCCCTCGTACATTGACATTATGTACAGATGTACAGTGGGCAGGCAATATTCACCGCCTAACCAGAAAAAGCGAAGAAACGATGATTACCGTTAATTAATTAGTAATTACTATCTGCCACGGCGCATCTTAATCAGCGATCGAATCACGCACCGATGATCACGGTTACTTCACGGCTGTAATTTCCAGTTCTGCACGAATAAAGTTTTCGCTGCAGTGACTCTGATCCGTTAAGGAATTTGACTGGCTCGTTGGTAATGGTAGCAATGTATGGTTAACAATAAACGGGTCGTGGGTTCGTCTCGCGACGATATTTTTCCGAATATCCAAAGCCAAAATTGGTCGACAGCACATCTTGTGTAAATGTGAAATGACTGTTCCTGTGTCGACTGTTGTTGTGTTTGTTTGTGAATCCCATGTTTTATTTCTAAACATAAGTTTAATGTAGTGTACATGCACTATACAGTACATCTGTTATCAGCAGTCAATAGTGATTGATAGTAACGTTTTATACTTGCCAATAAAGCGATAGATACACGTTTTAAACCAACACTGTGAATGGCCGATGAAAGATGCTTTCATGATACACATAAGTTCATCAGGTTTTAGTACAGAATGTATACAATCAGTTACGACGATAATAAACGCATAAATCTCTACAATGTTACTACCTCATAGTTTAAAGGAAATTTATGTATTTATAACGTCAATAAAGAGGGGACAATACTGATTAGGTGTACTATATAATTTAGATTTCTAACTAGAAAGTAGAAATTCAATTAGTCTAGATTCATATACGAGAAAAGGTAGATAGTGTTAGATTACATATTAGTTATGGAAGTGTCTTTTCGTTAGGTAACATCATATTATTTCTTTTATATACGTAGTTATCATGCTGTACTAATACAGTTAAGTATCAATTATATAGATACACGAAAAAACTTAAGACCACTCCTAAAAAACTCTACTTTATGTTATTTGATCAAAGTTATATCTCAAATCGAAAGCGTTTTCTGCATTCCTACTGAATTATTATCATTCTGTGGCCCGGTCCATCCACGTATAAATCTGATACTGTAATACACCTCGACCTGTTTCCTCTGGTCCGTATCTTCATTATGTTAACACATTTTATGACAGAACAAAGTGATAAATCGTCCTTACAAACATTGCTTCACGAAATTAACTTTTGCCCGGTGCTATCTTGTGTATCAATAAACTACGTGTTATTTTTATCGTCTGCTTCTTAAATTGGTTTTAATTTTTAATATTGGGTTATTTATTATATCGTGAGGCCAAGTTCTGAACATATTTGAGCGTTCCTTCTTAAGTTTCATTCAGTAATCCAATTCAGTAGTTCCAGTAGTATTACAATGTACTACTGAGTATTTTGCCAGTCAAGCTACGAGTGTGTGAAATAAAACAGAATACGGCGTACTGAAATAAATATACTTTTAATAATGTTTATATCGAAGAGTAAAGTTGTTTAAAATATTATTGTTATAAAATTGGCATTTATTGAAACTAAAAATTAAACATCCTTTGCAAGCATGTGATAGAGTGATAATATAAAATCAAATCTACACTACACACTTATGAACAATGCAGTCAAAACTCTATATTTACATTTAAATGTAAAACGAACTAGAAGAACTGGTAAGAAACTCGCCGCCACTCCTTTTATACAATTTTGAAGATCAGTCGTGTCATTCATAAGTAATTATATTTTATACTACCCGCCCCGGCTTCGCTCGAGTGAAATGCATACTAAATACACTGCAGAAAAACTATGTAAGTTTGTAAACTATGTAACCTTCCTGTTATCTATTAAAAATCGCATCGAAATCTGATGCGTAGTTTTGAAGATTTAAGCGTACATATGTATTTATCAACAATAAGTATTAATTAGATGTTCCCAATACATTTCCTAGCCTAACGAAGAGAGTCCATTTGCTCTTGCACCATAGACAATCTTCGTTAAAGGTTGAAAAGGAATCGTAATGAATATTCATTATTCGACTCGATGCATAACAGTATCGATTAGAAACATATCGAATAGCCGGATGTACTGGCTTATTATGCGAATATCCTGCAATTTTTACGCTCGCATGAAATCGCGTAATGTTACCTGTACTTTTTACCCCACAAAGGGGAATTTGGTGAATGTTTGGTACGGCTTAGCAATCGTTTGAAGACTTTAATATTTCTCATATTGCTCATGATAAAAAATATTTTTTTGTAGATTAAAACAGATTAACACGGCATCGTCAGCGCTGACGATGCCGGTTCAAGTAAAAATGAAATTCAAGTCATAGTGGAGTTGTTTTCAATTTATTTTCGATTTTTAAATTATATAGTGCCTTCATGTGCATTAACATGTAAAAAATAATAAAGTTTTCAAACATGATTTAGATTCGCCAAAAAAGAAATGGAAATGTTTGTTTGTCTGTATGTCTGTCGTGATTCCACAGTGTTCAATAGTACCACATAACCGACAAGAACACCCAAGAAACTCAGCCCGGCTTTTGAGTCGTACTAAACACCTATATAAACAAGTTAAAATATTTTAATACACGGATAAAAGTAAACGCCATTATAACAAGAAATTGAATATCCTTAAACCGAAAATTTGCATTTTTATTATGTTTTACGAAACGAAATGAAATGAGAAATGCGACATTGAGGTGCTGTTTTTTGCCTTTTATGCAAATAAACACGCGGAAATGAAGGCATTTAGTGAAATTCATTAATCTCAACAATGGCTCAACCTTTGTATGTGGCATTTTATCACCTCGTCTGCGCCGTCGGGTCGGCGCCGAACCTAATTCCTGCTGACCTGATAATTGCTGATGGAGGAAACACTAAAACTGCGAATAATCTATCCTTCTCTATCAAAACCACAAGCTTGACTATGTATGAAAGTGCCAAATGCAGTGTGAGGGAAATTTCCAATTCTCTCCTTTGTGACAAAGATTTGATGTTCAGACCCGGTTATATATATTAAGTTCATATAAATACGCCACATGCTCAACAGATATTTTAATATATAAAAACAAGCGGAACAAGCGACAAATCTTATAGTTTTCTTATTTAATAAAATTAGAGTAAGTATATATGAAAATTTACGATATTTCAATTTAAACGTTTAGAGTCGTATGTTTAAGCTAATGGTGTTTTATAAAAATGTTAATCATTAAAAAGCTAAATTTATCGGCTGAATATGAAAATAACGGTCCCAGGATATACTAGTGAACGAATGTTATACAGAAAGATGCGACGATTAAGAAGAAATAACGGTCTTTGTTTATCAGGATTCGAGCATCTTTATTTCGATTTTAAAATCTTGATATTGGACTGTGGGATTCGTATGCATTTGAATAAACGAATATTTATAAAATTTTATAAAGTTAAAGAGTTTGTTTGTCTGCTTAATCGCGCGTATCGCAGGAACTACTAGTTCGATTTATAAATTCATTATGTGCTGGTTAGAGCAATTATTGGGAAGGCAATAAAACATCGCGCTTGGACTAATAAAGTGAAGGAACAGTGGGAAGTGTGGAAAAAACGGGAAAATTAAATGAATCAAACAACACAATAGGTTGAAAACTAAATGGAGTCAAATACCATCACGTTTCTACTTTTAATTAACAACGACATTCGTCTAACTAAGTAATGTTAGCGAAAAAGTAACTTCAAAGCAATTTTATTCTTTAATATTCAACAAAAATTAAAATACACGAATTAAAGAACAAGTTAAAATAATTTCGCTTAAAATTAGTTTTCGCTGCAGTAGTTCCGATCAAGTAGAAAGTTAACAGAATGTGTAAACCGCTTTAAAAAATAGAACGAATACTTTTTTTTTATAATGGCCCGTATTATTTGCTCGTTTATACAATGTTATATGTACAGATAATATCTACAACTATAGTAAGGCGTTATATCTACAGTCTAAAAACAGCGCTTTTTACGCTGGCAAAATACGGTATGATCAACATCCGCGGTTCCGTCTGACAATACCTCATTATGTATACAAAACACATCGGCATATACGTCACTCCGCATCTAGGCGTTGTTTTGCTGAAATGTTAACAAACAGAGCGTGCTATTGTCTGTGACATTTGTTTACGTATCTCGAACTGCAGGCATCTGTGGTCGTATGTAGGTTAATGTGGGAATCGTTAAGTGCACAGATTAAGAATATATGCTTCCTTACTGTTAGTTGCTTGGTACGCGGAGAGTCTAATGAGGGCTTAGAATTAATAGTGTAAGTAAAATTGTGTGTCTTACAATAATGAATGATGAAGAAATATATGTCTATTACAATTATATTCTTCATAATTGTACTTAGTTGTTTGAATGTTTTCTAAACGGCGGACTCGTTGATGTAATGGTTGCAATGCACGGTTCGTAGGTTTGATCCTCAGC